CCCGCTAATCCCGTGAGTAGTAGTTAATTAACTGGATCCCCACTGATCAGGTAAAAAGAAATGTAAAAATAACAATCAACCCAGGATTATCTGTTAATTAATCTTTTGTTTTATTAAACGACTAACCTGATCATTGTTTTCACGCGTAACGACACATTGATACTGATTGAATAACGGCCATTGTTGAATGATACCATCTTGTCGTTCTTTGTAACACCCCCGCTAATCCCGTGAGTAGTAGTTAATTAACTGGATCCCCACTGATCAGGTAAAAAGAAATGTAAAAATAACAATCAACCCAGGATTATCTGTTAATTAATCTTTTGTTTTATTAAACGACTAACCTGATCATTGTTTTCACGCGTAACGACACATTGATACTGATTGAATAAAATAAAAGTACCGAGTTTTGTCACGATCATCTAGTATCTCTTTATTGTTAAACAGACGTTTTAGCGCCTCCTATAATATTACATACAGAGTTACACCCCCTGTAAATAGTGATAAAATTAGCGATGTTTTTTTGTTCATGTGCTTTTTTGATAAAATAAAATGAATTCATCGATTTTCTTCACAAAAATGGATAAATAGTATCGCATGCATCACAATGGTAGACAGTAGTATCGAAGGTTGGCACAAAATGACAAGTTTACAGAAGTTATGTCTGAGATTTGAGTAAAGAATTTTCGTTCGGCGCAAGATTCAGCGACGGTCAAATTTACCGCTTCCAATGCATTCAAGCGTAATATTTAATTTATGTCAGCACAAAAAGCACCAAGATTTTATTAAGAGGCCACTCCCGTTATGTTATGTCCGAGATTTTAGTAAAGAATTTTCGTTCGGCGCAATGCATCCAAGCGTAATATTTAATTTGTGTCAGCACAAAAAGCAACGAGATTTTATTAAGAGGCCACTCCCGTTAAGCGGTCAGTTGTGAAAATTCCCTTGGGTGGCTGCTTAATGCAGATTCTACTGTACGTAATACTGTTGCTATCAGCAGGGGTAGAACTAAGTACATTTTGTGTTGCAAGGCTACTGAATTGAACTATTATGAACAACCTGTAGTTTACTCCCACCACTGAAAACCTTATAGTTTACATGCATATAATACTAGAAACTCTTGAATGTTATCTAGGTTCAAAAGTATTCTACAACCATATTGTCTGCTATGATGGCTGGTATGGATGATAAAGAAGATTTAGATGATGATATTACAACAGAAGCTATGAGTGGCCTGTCTCGCATACTATCAGAAATAGATGAAAGTCATATAAGGGCTATACTTATAAATGTAGCTTTGAGAATTAGACCCTGTTTTGAAAAGGTATGAATGTTAACCTTTTTTTAGACATGATTTGGAAATTATTTTGAAACATATTTGAAACTTGAGAATTTGCATACTATGCTTTATTTTCCAGGATAAACCTACAGTACGAGCTCAAGCATTTATATTATTTGGTAATCTGTCTCGATTTGGTGACGGTCCATCTAGAGCTCCTTTCTTAGAGCAAATTCACAGTAATTTTATCAGCCTTTTACTTCATCTAAATGATCCAGATTATGATGTGAGAAAGGTAGGATGTTGTCTATTGGTCTGTAGTGTAGTTTCAGATGTAAATTTATTGTCTCCTTTAAATATTGTCACAAATTTTAAGATACAAATTCTGAGTAGTTTTGATTCAGATAGAAAACGATAACCACAAATCAAAGTGTTTAAAGAAATGATTAAACTGTTTCAGATACAAACATTTAATAACATATTACAATTTACTTTGACCTACTTATATATTTTTTAATTATAGGCATGTAAATATGCCCTACGTCTACTTGGTCCTTTAATGGGTTCTGATGCAATAAATGAAAAATTCCAGAAACATCTGCTTGAAGATGCAAATCTGTTTTATGGAGAATTCATGAATGATTTAGCAAAGTTGATTGTAAGTAATATGTTCAGATATTTTAGCTGTCAAGTGTAGAATTCTACTATAAAACTAAAGATTTCATTAAGATATAATGTTTTTATATAAAAAAAAAATATTGTGGAGAGAAACATCCTACAAAAGGGTGGGATTAGATGGGAATTTGTCTGTTTGGACTAACAAAATAGGTCTGAAGACATTTTCTTGACTAGTAATTGTTTATTTATAGAGTGAGAACTATTGTCTAGAGTTAACTGTATCAAAGTCTTGTATTAGAATTTATTTGTTTTGTTTCATTTTTCACCAGATTCAAGATTTTCCTGAAAAAATAAATTTTTATGTTATGGGTTGTATAGCTTTTTTCAAAAGTTCCTGGTCTGAAATAAAGAGTAATGCAGCAATGTTTGCAGGTAAGATCTTAATATGATATGTTGCTTCTGTTATAAAAACATCACTGTGGATAACAATGAATACAGTCTTAATAATCTAGACACCAATATTGGGTATGATAATATGATTAAGTATGATAATATAAGACCAAATAAACAAGTATTCTGGTTCTCAGATACTCAAGCATTGCTTAAAAAGAGACCTGTGACCTGTATTATTTTAAAAAATAAACAACAAAAAACGGTTTCATTAATTACTGCATAATATTTTTCCCAGGATATAGGAAGTAACTGTATAACAAAGTTCGAATGAATCGGGAAATGTACCGTAATCTCTATTATCAAATATACAACCCTGATAAATGTTATTGACATTCATAAAGCATACTGGATAATCAAGCATTCAACAATGCGATGAGATAAATGTAGTGCCTTGAAATATGATGTTTCTGAAAAGTCATTTAGTTCATTAGTGATCCTTTACTTGACAAAATAAGAACACATAAATCTCCCTCCTACGTCAGAATATATTTTTGGTATGGCCTAATATAATATTATGAAAGATGATTTTTAATGGCGCTACTACATAAAAGTTATGAAATTTGTTTTCTTATGCTCATCTTTTCTTATGCTTACAGGATTTTTATTAGGAAATCTTCCTAAAGATAAACAAGCAAACATATCGAAAGAACATGCATGTTCAGGTAAATATACTGTTATGGCTTATCTTAAATTTAGAAAAGGAACCTTCATAAGTTTGATGCATATAGCCATTAGCCAGTAAAATATTTATATCATTTATAACATTACTTTTATTAAAGTTTTTAATTTCATATGTAACTGAACTTGGACTAAATGTTGTTATTTTCTTGCAGCATTAATACTGTTATTAAAAGATCCAGCCTCGATTGTTCGCAGTAAAGCATCAGAAGCAATGAGTCTGTTATATGATTATTGATGTCCTTGTATAGTTTGAAATACTCCAATCCAAAATATATTTTGTAAGGTATTCCTTACCAATCAGTGTTCTAAAAACGGCCAGGTTATGCATAGCAATTCATACTCATAATATAGTATAAAATCTTGAGGAAGGGAGGAACAGTTGGTCAAATTTGGTAATTATTGTTTTCTTCTCTTGATATGTAGAACAAAAAAACATGTTCAAATAGTGTGTGGTACTCATTTATGCAAATGCTTTTTACTGGTGTTTATGTTTTTTTGTAAGGGCTACCAGTGCATATTAAAGGAAAATTAAATTTGTGTATGTTAAAAAGAATTTTTATTTTTCTGGAATTAATGGAATATAGACTAATATAAATATATATTGGAAAGAGTGTATGTAAATAGGCGCTGCATGTATAGAAATGTCAAAATTTATATGTCAATGTGATTTTTTTGACAATGAATAAAATAAATATGTACCGTATACCTCAGTTATAAAGAAAGAAATTATAGAGGCAATTTTAAATCCATGTTAATATGTATTTATGGTAGCATATAATATGGTAAAATCATGCAAAGCTTTCTTGCCTTTTTGGAAGAATGTATAGCCATTATTGATAAGACCGTCCTACTACTAATGTTTTAAAATTTCTTTGGGGTGTCGATTTCCCTAGTATCTTTAAATAATTCTTGTTGGGCCCACTCTTCAATTCCCAAGAAATGTGCTTTTTGTTTTTAAAAATATATATCCTATAATTATTTATAATGTGGTATGTAAAGCAATTTGTATGTGAACTTGTTGATTCTTTTTTAAATCTTGGCTTGATCTCATTTATGAAACTTGACCTTAATATGCTTTAGAACAAATGGATTTGATTGCATTTGTACATTGGACACTGTAAAATATTATTAGCTATAAAATCATCATTCTTTAGGGTTTCTCCATTCCAATACTTAATTAAGCTCTCTGGTAATTAATTTGTAAAATTAAATAATTTTATCATTTTTTCAATCAATATCGAAAAGCTTTGATTGATACCTAGTCCTATATTCAGATTGACAAAATTTATGATAGGAATAAAATCAGAATATATTATAATCTAATAATGGTCATAATTTTGAAGCATATGTTTGTAAAGGCATATTACCTATCTGTTACATTTTTTGGGGGTGCATGTATATTGAAATTGAGCAGTTAATCATATTTTGCCTTTATATATGGATTGAGGTTCTTAAGGAGCCATAAAACATTATTGATTACTGTGCACAAAACTACATCACTTTGCTTTTAACTTAATTATATGTAATTATATGTAATTTATATTTTTTATTTACTCTTAAAGCAATAAAGAACTGTTTTGCTCATGTTTATGTATTATAGAGATCTAAAAGATAATAATACATGTAATTACAAAATTTAAAAGATTTTAATCATGTACTACTAGCAGTTAAGTAGTATATTATTCATGGGATTTGCCCCCAAGGTTTATAATTTTACAAAAAGAAATAAAGTACATATATGGTGCTATATGTAGATGGTTAATGATTACATTTTAATACGCCCACATATTCATGTGGACGTATATTGTCGTCGCCCCTGTCCATTCATCCGTCCATCCACAATTTGTTTGTGGACACACTACAGGTCACAATTTTTATCCGATTTAGACGAAACTTGAAATATAGGTATATTTCCAAATGATCTTGGTTCCTTTCGATATTGGCATGTATCGAATCGTAACTTCCTGAATTATGGCCCTTGATTGTATGAAAAATCGTGTATTGAGCTTGTGGTCTCAATACTGGTCACAATTTTTATCTGATTTAAAAAAAAAAAGGTGAATAGAGGCCACAGTTTTTATCCAATTTGGATGAAACTTTAAATATGTTTTTATCATAAAGATCTTGGTCCCTTTTGATAATCACACATATCCGAACGTAACTTCCTTGTTTATTGCCCCTGATGGGTCGAAAAATCGCATTTTTAGCTTGTGGATGGATTCTCTTAGAGGTTACATTTTTTTTCCGATTTTAAAAACTGTTTAGATATATCACCATTCCACCATAATGAAGGTTGAATTCGAATTTCGTTTTTGTTTTTAGCTTGTTCTGTATCCATCTCTTGCAAAATGTGGGCATATCCTGCCTGGCAGCCACTGGTATTTGTACCACATCTCTTCTTGTTGGTTATTTCAATATTTTTCTGTATGTAGATTCCTACTTATATATCCATTGTTTATTTATTCAGATTAAAGCCAATAAATATTATATATTGAATATTGTTAATTACAGATGATGAAGCTTGTTAAAAATGATATTGTTATTGTTTATATTGTATAAATATACATGTGATGTAATAAAATTATAAACATGTGATTTATTGTAATATTACTACATGCCGTGGTGAAAGTTACCACACTGATTATTAATAACCCAGCCTGTGATAGCTGTATGTTGGCCAAGGCACTGTTTAGGAGGATTTTCCAAGTCATTTACCCCTCAGGTAAATGCTGAATCAGACATTGAACCAACAGCTACTACTTCTACCCCAGTTAAGAAGACAGACTTATTCAAATGCACTGGAATCCAAAACATGCTGACTTAGAAATAGATCTGGTGGTCCTGTTGTACAACAAGTTTTATTTGAAACATCTATGTCCATGACCGTGTTCTGGTCTATTAAAGTATTTGACTGATGTTCAAGCATATTCAATTGAACTGACCCAATTTCATTAAAACAGGGTGAATACCCTAATAGTAGCAGTGTGTGAGTGAATCCTAGTAATTTTGTCAGCAAACACAAGAAACTGAATAAGCACAATAGAATTATCACAGTTTAAAACATGTTTATTATATATATTGACAAATTCAGTAGTCTAAGCTTCAGGACACTGCATTAGAGTTTGTAGTTCGACAGGTTTGGCTAGATTAAGAAATATGAAGACTTTATCAACTAAATCTCCCTTCTTATCTTTACCTTTACAGACTACATTTCTCTGTTTCAACCATGTTGTTAGTGTAAGAGCATTCACTTTATTCAACTGAAATACAAGAAATGATTAAATTTACCAGGCAGTAATCTTTATTGACATCAAAACTTTCTGACTAAAACCAATCATCAAAAAGTGGAAAATCAGATCCAATGCACTGATTATATAGATATGGGTAGAAGGTAGTGAACTGTATTATCGACTTTAGACAGCAAATCAGACAGCTTCAAAATGCATGCAAGTAACTAGACAGTGGTAATAATTAAATCATTCAATATGTTGAAAAATTACCTGATTCGACCTTGCTAGTTTTTCAACATCAACATCTTGTAACCTGGGTTTAGCTCGAGGTTTTTTGGCTTCACTTTCACCCTTAAAATTAGAAAAAAGATATACTAGAATATTTAATGTTTTCTTAGGTAAATAAATTCTCTGCAATATCACCTGGGTGGAAGCGGACGTAAAATACAACTAACTAACAACATAGGTAAATAAAGAATCATTGGATAAAATTCAGAATATAAAACAAGGATACAAGTATTCCTGAACACAAATTGTGAAGTAATGCTCGACCATACATTATTTTACATCACTAGATTTCAACAAACATAAAGAAAAGCTATTCAGACTTGCCTCTGAACAAGGTGTTTTTATTTCTTTTCTTTTATTAGCTGTACCATCAGGAGTTTTCATTAGTTTGTTGTTTGTAAATTTACTAAAGGAATGTGTCGGCAAGTCTGGTGTTTTCAGCTTGTGTGTAAAGCTTGGTGTAGCTTTTGGGGTTGAAGCTATAGACGAACTTCCACATGGCACATTATTATAGATATTAAAACTAATTTCTATTGGCTCAGAGGCTGTGAAGAGGTCTTTTGGTGTACTGGGTGGTTTCTGTTTCATCACACTTTTCTGTAATTTTGGAGTTAATTGCTTTGGAGTAGCAATTTGTTTCTTAGATGGAAAGCTTGGTGTCTTTGGTGTTCCCATTGGAGAGATACTCAATGAGTTTTGTTTGGCTTTCTGTATCTTTGATGTAAATATCGGAAGAGTTTTAGGTAATCTATTAACAGGCACAGTGTATGATTCAATTGAATTAGGAATGTTATGGGTAGATGATGACTGTATTATTCTCTCTGGTATCTGGGGTCTAGGTTTTACTGCAAATGATGGAACAGTTTTTGGAACATTAGATTTGTTGACAGGTTTAAATGACTTATTTTTTGGTCTAAATAATGGGATTATCCTACTTGTTTTTTCTGGTTGTTCTTTTTCTACATCATAGCTTGCAGATGTATTTTTATCATCTGATCTAGAATTGACACTCAGAGAAGAAACAGTATTTCCATTAAAAACTGAATATTCAGGTGGGAGATGTAAATTCTTATCTTCAGGTATACTAGATGATGATGGCTTCACACTAGCTGTGTCGGATTTTGAAGTTAAATTAAACATTTGCTGGCTCTGTGATTGTGAATTTTTGATGATAGGTTGGTTATTTAAGGGATGTGATTTGTGTTGTAAGCTACTGATGTGACGTAATGGACCTGTGGTTGGATTCATTTTTCTGCAGGTTAAATTTGGTTTAATATCAGGTTCTTCCTGAAATAACAATGACCAACTATAGTTTTGGATAGATTTTATGTAAGCTCTAAAGACTATCTATGGAATACCGATATATGGATTCCAAATATATTCAGAGATCATTTTTAAGATCCTTTATTTAATGGGTTTCTAGTTTTAACAAGCCAACAGTGAGGCTGATGTCCCCTGCCGAAATCCCAAAATAAATAGATGACACATATTAATTAATAGCACATTTATTTTTATACGCCCACATTTTCATGTGGACGTATATTGTCGTCGCCCCTGTCCGTCGACACTCTACAGGTCACAATTCTTATTCAATTTTGACGAAACTTGAAATATAGGTTTATCTCCAAAAGATCTTGGTTGCCGTTGATATTGGCATGTATCGGATTGAAACTTCATGGATTAATATGACCCCTATAGAGGTCACAATTTTAATCCTATTTTGATGAAACTTGAAATGTAAGTTTATAACCCAAAGATCTTGGTTCCTTTCGATCTTCGCGCATATCAGACCGTTACTTCCTGAATTATGGCCCCTGATAGTACGAAAAATCGTGTTTTTAGCTTGTGGACCCTATAGAGGTCATAATTTTTATCCAATTTAAAAAATCGCCGTTACACCCCAAGGACGATCGAGTTCATATTTCGTGAAAATCGGCCCAAAACTGACAGACAAAATGGCCGCCGTTCGTTCTCAAATAGCGTAAAAATATGGTATATCAAGGTTGTGGACCCTATAGAGGTCACAATTTCTATCCGATTCTGTTGATCTCTGCTTACCCTAAGCAGAAAATACTCATCTTCGAACTTCATCAAGGCATTGGCCTAATAAACACCTACCCAAGTTTGAATGTTCTAGCTCAATTAGAAGGAGAGTTATTGTGTTCCAAAATCTCGGCCAATCAAATTGCTTATCACTCTGCTTACCCTAAGCGGAAAATGTTCATTATCGAACTTAAGTCAAGGTATTGATGTAATGAATCTATACACCAATCAAATTGCTTATCTCTGCTTACCCTAAGCAGAAAATGCTCATCTTCAAACTCCATCAAGGCACTGTCCTAATAAACACCTATACCAAGTTTGAACATTCTAGCTCAATTAGGAGAGTTATTGTGTCCCAAAAAGTGTGACGGACAGACGAACGGATGGACGGACAAACAGATAACAGTCAGTCAGACAGACAGACAGACAAACCAAATTTAATAGTCTCCTGCCTGTCAACAGAAAATGACAATTCTCATATTAAAGAAAGAAAATATGGCTCTCTTCTTCATAGGTCTACACTTTGAAGAATCAATTGTTTACAAGAAAACAAACTCACTTCAGAACAGTTAAGAAGCTGTTGTTCAGTGTATCTAATCTTAGGTTGAAATTTGAAAGGATGTCCACATATTTGTGATATTTTACCATGGACATCCTGTAGAAAGGTGGCTATCACAGGTTTAGGATCAACTCTCGGCATACTCTGTAGATTACGACTTCTTATACAAATACTAGGATAAGTAAAGAGGCGACCACCTAAAGGTAGGAATGATACTTGATAGTACAGCAGATCATCATCTGTTTCTGGAAGTCTATACCCATACTACAAAAGCAACAACATTAATTAATAATAGGTCAATATACATAAAGCAGTACAATATTAGGGGTAAAATGAGAGTTAGACACATTGTGTTATAAAATTAAAATATTATGTCACATACTATCACTAGACTTCTGATACAGTCCTATAGTCCTATCTATTCTTAATTGTTAACTATCATCCGCAGCATAGGTGTAACTTTCGGGCAATCTGACTTTTTGGGGCAGAAAAAAAAAAAAAAAATATTTCATCTAGTTGGCAAAATAAAGTGGCCCAAATCTAATAAAACACAAAGTTTACTTTTCTTTTAATTGAATACCACAAATTTGTACTGAATTGACTATGGATTAAAACATTTTGTCTGGAGTCACTCGGGCATCGATTATTATTTGTGAATGCAGCTGCAACAGTCTAATTGGATGGTTGGAAGTTAGATCGGCATTGAGTGAGATTTCGCTTACAAAACCATTGGACAACTTTGGAGTTGCTTAACACACAGGCTAGAATAGCAGAAAAACGCATTTGCTGGAATAGCAGGAAACGAATAGCAGGAAAACTGTAAACAATTGATTGGTTGATTGGAATTCTGAGTCAGCCACCTAAATTAGGCTAATTAGACCAATTTGTTTCCAAGGATTTCAACTGACTTTGATCAGTTCTATTACCATGGGCTATATATCAAAATGTTTAAAGTAGCAAGGTGTGTTTACAGCAATCTGATTGTAGAGATCTTCCCGAAATCAGCTTGAATAACGTTTCTGATTTGTGAATAGGACTTATCTTTATCATTCAGATATAAATATTATCTACCAGATATAGATAGTTTTTCAAAACTTATATTGTGTAGTGTGTACCACATTGTAAACTGATTATATGACTTACAGTATTTTTCCAATGTTTTTTAAGGTCTCTGTATGTTTTAAATGGGCAATCATACTGTGGAATATTACGTGACACACTAACTATTCTACCTTTCTTCATACTAAAACAAAAATTGATAAAGTAGTAAGTGAAGATTGGATCTAATTCACAGAACACTGATGGATAGAAGTTAATCATTTTCTATGCGTCATTATCCGGTTAGATTTTTGTTTCTCAGTTTTCCAACCTGGCATACCCAGTACCTGGTCATTTGAAAAATAATGATCAGACAATAGTTCAGATTACATAGGTTGGAAATTCCTTTTCAATCTAACAATTAATCAGAATGAGGGGTGATCATTTGCCTATAAATATGTGCCAGACAGTGGACATTGTTTGGTATTGTGTAAATAAGCAATTAAAATAAAAGATTTGATATTAAACAAATCTTTATTTAGAGGGTTTCTAAAAAAGAAACTTATAAAATTTGGAACTTCATAATAGCAGGAAAATGATGGAATTGACAATTAATGATAATTGCGATATCATGGATGTGGTGACATTTTATATCATGGCTTGCTATTAAAATTTAATGTCTACCATTTACTCTCATCATTTCAAGACATGTACAAAATCCTGGGTAGATTTTTTTTCAGGTCACTGCAATTATGCCTATGTGGATGTTTAACATAATTTTCTCAATTCACCTTGGTAAAATATAACACCACTGATCTAACTCCAGTATTTCAAAATGTGGATGCCCTTGAAACATTTTTCCTAGATATTCAGAGCTTACATCTAAATCATTAATCTAAAATATATAATATTATGAGGTCAGCTAAAAGAAATACCACATGTTTGCATCACAATAGAAAACCATAAGAATGATATACATTTAATGACCATGACTTTATCTTCACTTATGCACATGCCACATAGGGGTATAAGCGGGACACTTAGACTAAAATTAATGTTTTAACTATTTGGTATTGTATGCCATATCAGTATAAGATGATCTAAAGCAGTGGACACATTAGCCGAATCGTTCGGCCGATTCAATCGGCGCCAAATTTTATTCGGCTGAATGGGTGGACACACATTCGGCTGAATGACAGTGGACACACTAGGCGGATTTCGACGCCGATTGATTCGGCCGAACGATTCGGCCAAATCATTCGGCTATTGTGTCCACCGCTTTAGCTACATTTCTAATTTTCTACCTTACTATCTAAAAAACTACCCTGTGCTGTAATGTCTTCTATTAATTTAATATAGATTTTTGAAATTAAATGAATCACCTGTACATGAGGACATCTCACTGAAGTACCAGTCACTGACATATATAGTTCTTTTGAATTGACAATTAGATTCATCTCTGTAATGAACAGACCAAGTTCAAGCTATAAATACTGGCTCACCATTATTGATTATGATAAATTTAATCACAAAATAAATGAATATTTACGTTTCATCTTTACAAACAGGCCAACTAAATGAATATTTATGTTAAATGAATTTGTTATTTATAACAGAATCTCATATTATATAATCGAACTTACTAATTGCATTCATATATCCATTGTGTGTCAAAAAATCTCGCCCTACAAAACCAAAATGAAAAAGGTTTGAGGTTCTCATTTCAAAAATTGTAGAAAAATTCACATTTTTATAAAGTTTTCATAAAGATTGATCAGGTACCTCTTTGATTTAGGTTTAACCTCACCCCCTCCTTGAAAATATCCACTATTAATTGCCCACATTCAGAATGTTTAAAAACATTATTCTGGTGTCAGGATTGAGTCTTACCATGTAGTAACCAATCTCCAACTTTGTTCCATATAGGGGCTATTTTAGCTGTTAGTGTGTAAATCAAACAAGTCTGATACAGACTTGGTAGAACTTGGTAAGGATCACTAACCTAAAACAAACATACAATTAATGTGTCATTTGTTTTGTACACAACCTTAGATAAATAAGTTCCAGAAAGGTTGCGAATGGTAAATGATGGAAGGTACCAGTAATGCACCAGTTTAATTATACTCTAATCAACAAGCCCACCATATTTTAAGAATTTCGATCAATAACTCTTTCCTTTATCAATTTTGTTCACAAGTTTTTGTAATTCTGACCGTAAATGGGAGATAACCCTGAATATGGATAGTTTTCACCATTCTGCAAATCTGAGTGTGCACAAGAAATTTGTGGATGGATGCTGAGTATCCATACCTTGTACAGAAGAAATACAGACAATTTTAAGTAGAATATATTGATACATTAATATTAACTTCTTGTTTATGTCTTAAAATAACACACCTTTGCCCCCTTTCTTTCAAATCTTCCCTGCAACTTCCCGGTCTTGTACATTTTCTTCTACAAAATAAAAAGATTAAAGTGAACATTCATGTTTGTGCACTGTAAAATTTGTAATCATAATTATGTAGTATCACTTTTTTAATGTTAAATTATCCATAACCGTAACAAATACATGCACTGGCCTACCCCAACTGAAAATCATAGGATGAGGGAGGAGGTTGGGTAGCCGAATGGTCTAATATGTGCGCTTACATCATAAGGTCTGCCATGAGCTAGTGGGTTTTCTCTGGGTCCTCTGGTTTCCTCACACTGCTAAAGAACCCTATGTACAATTTACTGTACTCACCTGCATTACCACATAAAAACACTGGTCAAAATCTAATGCTGGAGAGGCTATGATATCTGGCTCTGTAAAAATTACTTCTCTGTGCAGAATATAACATTACAATTATTAATATTAGATTACTAGAATAGCGCCAAATATACATTTGAAAATTATTGACCAAAATAGTTTAGTGCTCAACTACTTAAATTGCAAATATAGAGTGAAGGATGGAATAGGCTTACGAACAGTATATAATACATGGCCAATTTCCATTTATGTTTTACTTAAGCTTATTTAAGTTATTTATAGCAAGTCCAGCAAGGGATAACCTCTAACACTCAATCAAAATCTAAATCTAAGCTAAAATCTAGGCTACCGGTACCCCATTTCATTCCTGCAGTTATTAGTCATTGAACAACATAGTTGTTGATAATGAATGCAGTGCTAGCCTGCAATTTAGGTGGGGCCTTTAGAGAGGCTGGCTAGAGGATGGAGAAAATGTTGGCCCCCAGTCGGACTACACAACGTCCCTCATTTGTACTTGAGTCCAGACTCCCCCCCCCCCCAATCAACCAGACAGAAATGCTCATGCTCAAATTAGGGACCCAAAATACTCGCAAATATCATCTACAGCGTTCCATTTTCAGTTATTACTCACGAATTGTCACAACAATTTCTGGAACCCCCTGCTGAAAAACCTACCTCCACCCCGTCATCACCATATGCACCATGATGGACCTTACTTAATGCAGTTGCCCACCATGTCCAAGGCCCTGCCCTGTCTGCATCTTACTCTTAGATTATAACGTTTTGCATAGGTTCATTAAATATTTATTTTCACGAACATGAATATGGACAAATAAGTCTAATCTTTAATAACGTTGTACAAAATGTTGCGCTGGGCCCACCCACCTACTTCGGATGACATGAGACTGACATGGTAATAATGTCTTTTGTTGGGGATAGGAATAGGATTCATTTTCTTGAAGTTTTCCAACATAAACAGTGACTGCACACAAATCTTCAAAACAAGGAGAAGTTCCAAAGAGAATAACAGGTTCATGGTGGGACTTGTCATACATTTCCGTTTCTTTTATTTAGAAGATGGTTAAAAAAGGCAACCTAGTAGGCCTACAGTAGAAGGGACAAAATCGTCTGCTTTTTGCACGATTCACGTGATGTAAGGGGAATAACTCTTAAAGAGATTTTGGAGATCATAACTATTTAACCATGGTGATTTTTAGTTGAAAATGATATAAACGTGTTATAATTGTTATGTAAACACGAATGTACATTGCGCCTTGAAAAAAAAAACAACAATTTGTCGTATTGTGAATTGATCAAATGAATTAATATTCCTTTTCTATTATTTACAAAATACATTTCTTGTCTACGGGAGACAACTCCATTTAAACTTAGGATCGTCAATCCAGATTAAGAACGACTATAATCATGAATATATAGGCTACATATGTAGATCAAAACCTGGCACAAAATGCAAATCCAAACACTCTTTTTCAGTCTTCTTCTTGATTTGGGGTCACAAATAGCAACAAAAATTACACTGGCGCTCTTTTTCTAATTTGACCACGAAATGGTGTAGCTGTTTGGTAGGCCTATGTGGGGAATTTTGTTGAAATTGTTGCTCAGGACCCAAACTGGGTAATTTCTCTGCCACCATAGATGTATCGGCCGATCACAAGCTGTCAGAGTAGAGCTTCTTCAGAGGAGAGAGCGGACTAGCTAAAAAGTAGTTGTGCTATGTTCGGCTCTCTCTCTTCTCAAACAATTGGAACAAAACTGTATAAAACTATCAAGTTTTATTATGCATTAAAACATATATAGGCCTACACTTAAGTTTTGTTAACTAGGCGCACTGTCCCAGTTCAAGCCGTTCTGTGATCTGTTCTGTTCTGTGTAATAGCTTAAAGCTATACTGTTCATTAACTGCAAGCACTTAAAAGGCTGTATCTGTTCATTAGATGCAAGCGTCTAAAATCTGTGACTGTAGGCTACATTAGATGCAAACATCAAAAGGCTGTGCATTCGAAGTGCATTTCTCAAGAACTACAGGTGTAATGACTATAACTTCCCTTCGACCCTGCTGATGGATATCCCAGTGGGAACAACTGACAAAGGCTACTAGTGCGGGATGAAATGTTCACCTGGCCATCTCAACAGGATGGCATTGATTCTGAGATTTCATTCCCAAGTCATATGGACACAATGTGATTTATGTTAAAGTTGACATACAAAAGTATGTTTTAGTTACGTTAAATAAGTCATAAGATATGCATATATACTATTCAAAAAAAGTAGGGGATATTTGATTTTTAAGTGTTATTAAAGTCACCCAATGAAACTGACGAAGAAACAAATGACAAAATGAAATGAAGTTCACATTCATCGATTTATTCCAAATGATCGTTAGACTAAGTAAGGCACGGACTGACCATTATAAGGGTAAAATGATACCCGGGGTCAAACAGCAAAGTTACCACAGCATCACAACCAAGTCAGTAACGGGTAAATCCTCCTCTGTTTGCCAAACAAGCATTGATCCGACGTGGCATACTCCTAATGAGACGTCTAAGGTCATTTTGGTCCAGATTGTCCCATTCCTGTTGCAACGCAGCAGCAAGTTCTTGGACATTGGCAGGACGTTGTTGACGTTGACGTAACCTCTGTCCAAGCATGTCCCAGACATGCTCGATGGGGGAGAGGTCGGGACTCAGTGCTGGCCAAGGTAATGTGGTGATGTTCTGTTGTTGGAGGTAACCTGTAACGATCCTGGCCCTGTGACATCTTGCGTTGTCATCCTGGAAGATGAAACGGCGGCCATGACGTCGTGCGAACGTCGTGCCAAGATGTTGTCCCGGTAGTACTGGCCTGTAACACGCCCTGCAACAACATGTAAAGCCGTTCTTCCAGCAAGTGATGCCTCCCCACACCATAACAGAACCACCCCCAAATCGATCATGTCTGATGACGTTAACGTCTTGGAAGCGCTCGTTTCGACGACGCCACACCCTCCTACGTCTGTCCGAAAAATCAACAGTGAACCTTGACTCATCTGAAAACATCACATTGCTCCAGCGTCGATTATCCCAGTGTTGACGATCCCTACACCAAAGACGTCTTGCCTGAATGTGATGATCTCTCAAACGAGGGATCACGCGAGGACATCGGGCGCGAAGGTGACCCCTATGCAGTCGATTCCGAATCGTCTGGCCACTCACTCTCACACCAGTGTCTGTTTGAAGACGAGCGCTGATCTGATTTGCTGTGATGACACGATTTCTCAAGGCCAAGGTACGGATAAATCGATCCTGGGCTTGAGTTGTCGCCCTTGGTCGACCTGAGCGTGGTCTGTCCTGTACAGATTGTGTATCACGGCATCTGGACCATAGCCTGCTTATGACAGACTGAGAAACATTCATCGTCCGCGCCACAACCGCCTGTGTTGTGCCGATCTGTAGCATGCCAAGGGCACGTAACCTTTCATTTTGGGTAAGCCGACGAATATCAAAATTTGTTTTCTGGTCACTAAAACAATTAAACTGATGTTTCCACCCTGGAATTCAATGCCACAATGACTGTAACATTCAAAGTCAGAGTCGTGCAAATCTTGGGTTGGACCCCCATGATGATCCCAAGCATCACCTGCATTCCATGCGGTAGCTATTGGTGCGTTTGGGCGTCACATGTAACTGGAAATGTTTCTTCTGTTAGGTTCTATAGTGACTTTTTTCGTAGTCATTTGCATATTTTAGTATTATGCCCCCAAAATCAAATATCCCCTACTTTTTTTGAATAGTATATATAAATTATAATTGCAATTTGCATGCAATATATTCAATTCAGCTATTTAAGTAACTCAATAATATTAGACAATGTATTATGGTTCAATTCCAACATAAAATTAAACATACAGTGTAATTAATATATGGCAGATAGCATTATTATTATAATAAAACTTAGAAAGTCTGTCAACATACTATTCATACAGTTATCAAATATCCAGTCCCTCATTATATATAAATACAGTCACCTAAATCTAAATATAGCTGTTATTAGTCTCAACTATTTTAGGCGTCTACAGACTATAAATAAAACAATACAAATGAAACTAGCTTTGCCACACTACCATGCAGAAACTGGGGATATTTTGATTTTGTTTCCTTAAACATGCATTATGCAAGAGCAAAATCTGCTTATTACAAGTCTTCTTTAGGCCTGAATTGTTATCTAAATTATCAATTAGACATTAATTAACTTATCCAGACCATAATAAACTCTCGATGTCAAGGCTAGCCTTCGATGTTGGCTGGATTAGATTCCTATATGCCGCTAACGGCCTTTGATAATTAAATCAAAAGAAGTGGATAATCGAGACTATGCTGTTTATATTAATGATTTTAGTAATGATGACCGAAACTATGCACAAATTTCACCCGCTTCTTTCTCAGCTCATAGTGGATCAATTTGACTGAAATTTTCAGCAAATTACCTTTACACTATTTAGTTTTTAACTATTATAGCGAGAACTGCCATCTCTTTATCTTATCTCCCATAATGTATCCTTAATTAAATATTAAATAATTGACTTGAGTATATTTAAACATGGACTGACAAATTAGATGGTGACTGAAAAATGCAAATGTCAATTGTTTTTACGGTCTTGCCAAGAAATAAAGAAAACTTTAAAGGTTTTGATAACGAAAATATTTATTATCATTTGCAAAAATGTACATTTTTAAAGATATTAATCAATATTTCCTGGTCTATTATTGATAAAATATTGTCTTGCAAACAAATAATAAATAATAATAAAAATATTTATTCATATATGCTAAATTTTTAGGATTCACTTTTTGGGATTTTCTGTATAATCTTGAAGAAGTCCATCCAAATGATCATTGAGCTTCTTAAATGTTTTATTTTTCCGACTACCCTTCTTCCTCTTCTGAATAGGTGCCTGCAAAAAAAAGTTAAAAATAAATTAAGCACACAAATGACATTTAGACTGAGTTTGTCTACTACAGTCACATATTAATATGCATGTCATTAAATAACCATGGTACCTTGCCAGTCTTAAAAAATGTTTCCTCTGTATACCAATGAATTGGCATAATTGACACTTGAGTAACTTGTGTATTAATTGATAACAAATGCATATACAAATTATTTCTAAAATTCATCTCGTCATATAATACTGTTATACTGAAACTTCCTCAATCTGTTTCACAGAGAATTACGAGTCTTCTTTAATATCTCTGTAAAAGACGACTGCCTTTAACACGTGCCATCACAGCACGCGGCGTCAATCATTGGCTGAATGGCGCATGCATTGTTTACTTAAGATGTTACTGCTTCGGGCAGAATGCTGCCTTTTAGTCATTTTCATACCCATTTACACTAAACAGGAAATAATTTTTACCCACAAATACGTCAAACATCTTTATTTATTTTTCTAATACATCAAAAAAATGTTCTAGAATTTAATTTGTCGGTGGAAAAAAGTTAATATTTGAGACTCATTAAGTCGCATTGATGTCATCCTTATTAATGATTGTAGCGGCCTAGCATATATTCACTGTTGATCAGTGTGAAACTTCCTTTACAGAGTTATGTCATTAATTCAAGGTTATCAGATTTCCAATATTCCATTCAATCTTATCACATTTTCAATATAGTATTTCTATACAAACTAATACTAGTCACTCTTACCACTTTATGTGATGCTACATCTTGCATGGATGCTATGCCTTGTTTCTCTAGATATTCTTCTATTTTTTTATCATCTAAACCCTCCACAGGCACACTACGCCACAACTTTTGAAAATCTGAAATATGAAAAAGCATAAAAATGAATGAAAACAGCTATAGGAAACTTATCAAAAGTTTTCATTTCTTTGCCTTTTGAAGTAGAAGATATAAACAAAATTTTCATATATCATATATGACATATATCAAAATAACTTAAAATTGAATAAAACCTACTTAAAGCCACAATTAAGCCATTAAGGGATATAAATGTTCTTGTAGTTGTAATTTAGACGACTCAAACGAAATACCTCGTTTTGATAGATCTTGAGCTCGATGTTCATGGATAGAAATAAGTTATCCTTTAGCAGTTAACTTTTAAGTCTAATAAAATAAAGAGGGCAGACCCGGCAGAGTGTCATCGATAGAAATTGATGTAATGGCCATAAATTATGTTAGGATTGATCAATTTTAATAATATTTGGACTAAATATGCTTTTTGGTTAGATAACCTTGTAATGTGTATGGTCTAAAAGTATGTAATAGCCTTTTAATCTGGAATATTATGTCTTTAATTCAAGAACCATCATCTTTAGTCTGAATCCAAAAAACAAATCTTTAAAATAACTGAAATGTGCCTACCTTCATCTAAACTAATTTTGCAGTATTTATCATTATAGAACAGAATTTTCTTTTTATCATTTGGTCTTACAACATAAATTACATGTTCTCCAAGCTGCTGTAATAGAAAATTACCCCATATGAGTGATTAGGTACACTTTCAAATATTATGACATGATGACAGCAGCATATTATTCAAAATCTATGGAAATAAAGAATATCATGAAAAGTATAATACAAATTTGTCATACTTTTAATGCCTTTTCTGCATCTGGAATTGCTTCTTCAACATCTTCAATATTTATACCACCTCTACCGTGTAAATCATAGTTCTTTAATAACTTTAAAAGACCTTTTCTATCTCTAATTTCTAGTTTTGGTCGAAAGGAAAATCTTTTTCCTTCTCTATCCTCTTTTGTAATTATTTTGGGATTGTTCATTAAAGCCTGAAATAAATAAGGTATTCCTATAATCTATTCAGATTGAAGGGGTTGTGGGCAATAATACCACAGACAAGTAAATTTAATGACAATATAACGTTAAAGCTAGTTAGATTTTACAAATTCAGGTACTCTTACAGGAAGTCAGCTACCATTACAGAATTTTTCAATAGAGCTGGGTGATATCCCTGGAGACAAATATTGCAATATTTTCAGAAATTTTCGTGATATAAGCACTATATCACAATATTTTATAAAATGTCAAGAATTTCAGTTTATCACCTTCTAAAGGTAAATAAACATGCATAAAAAGTTGAACATGCCTCTCTAAGGATTCACTTAAGCTTTGTAGTCAATATTTTTCAAATATTCAGCCTAAATACAGTACAGGTACCATATTTACAAACAAAATTTAATGAGCAGGTTCGAACATAGTACTATACTCTTTCAAAAAAAGTAGGGGATATTCAGGTTCAAACAAAATTAGGGGATATTCAGAAACAATACAAAACTGCAGAAATGCACTGCTACTGTTTTTATTAGAGGTAACCAGTGTATGTTAATAACAGGCCAATTGCCTACACATGAACATAAACAGTTCATATGGGTGGCTTATCTGACGGCCCTAATTCACTCGCAAGAGGAGATATACTGTCAAAAGTGAAAATAGGCGTTTTTGATTTTTGTCTTAATAATGAATAATTGCTCCACCAATCCTCAGACATTCAGCAATTCGTCGTGGCATGCTCCTAATCAACCGTCCAATCACGATTTTGGGCAATATGACCCACTCCTCTTGCAGTGTTGTCGGTTGACGTTGACGAACACATCTCCCGATCATGTCCCAGACATGCTCTATAGAGGAAAGGTCAGGACTTCTGGCTGGCCAAGGCATATGGACAACATGAAAGATGACCTGCACGTTGAGCAAAGGGCAGAACTATCGATGCCAGGATGTGGTCACGGTAGGACACACCAGTGACCCTTCCTTGAACAATATGCAAGTCCGTTCTGCCAGTCATGGTGACTCCTCCCCACACCATAACAGACCCACGCCCAAATCTGTCATGCTGTCTGACGTTAATGTTAGCGTGATGCTCATTTACACGCCTCCAAACGCGAGCACGCCTAGCGGTGAAATCCAGAGTAAATCTGGACTCATCTGAAAACATTACACGCGCCCATCGATGATTACCCCAATTTCTACGCTGCCTACACCATCGACACCTGTTTGCCAATCATGATTTGGGGCAATCTGACCCACTCCTCTTGCAGTGCCACAGCCAATTCTTGCAGTGTTGTCGGTTGACGTTGATGAACACGTCTCCCGATCATGTCTCAGGCATGCTCTATAGGGCTCATGGCTGGCCAAGGCATATGAAGAATATGGTGACGCTGGAGGTAGTCATTCACGAAACGAACGCGGTGGGCATGGGCATTATCATCTTGAAAGATGAAACGTCGACCTGCACGTTGAGCATGCCAATAGCAAGTAGACGTTCGTCATGTTGAAGGCATCTCATTGCAAATTAAACGTAACACACTAAAGCAAAGATATGCTAAACAGTAAATCTTATGCAAGAACCGATAGGAAAGCAAACATGGATAGGATAAACCAGCACGCAGCAGTTTTCATCAACCCTTCCTGGAAGTGTCAAATTTGACAATGAACCTCCTCCCACGTGTATGGGGCTATCACGTGTCGAAGGTGCAGCTCAGTGGTTCTGTTGGGGCAATAAGTTCTTCATCTGTGAACATACTCTCTAAGCATGTCAAGTGTTCATGACTATTTATCATATCACAACCTGCATAGGTATTTGCATTTCAATATCCCCTACATATTTTGAAGAGTATATATCAAGAAGACTTGTTAAAAATGTCTGTCTGTGTTGTTGTTTATTACAATTTTATCTTCCAATACATAAGTTATGATATTTGATTTAATTAAAATTATATACATATTATGAGGCATAAAAAAGAAAAACCATAAAGTTTGTGTTATTCTGTCGTCTGTGCATGTTTTTCTAGATGGATCCAATAGGAGGCTATTTATTTCCCCTTGCTAACTCATTTTTTCTCATTCCAGTGTATGCCTTCTTGAATATGAATTTTACAAGACAAGAATACAAAATTAAACTATAAAACAACAGTGCTGTCTCAATAAGTGTCCATTAAGTATAATTCCCTTCGTGATACCCCCTCTGGATACACACAGAGGGAATACACAACTCTAAATGATAGCTTAGATTACATGTAATTTTCTTTTTTACCTCTGTGAGTAACCAATGTTTGATTTTGGTTGTAATATCAGTTTGGTTGGTTTCATCCAATATTTCATCAATCATCAGAGGATGGGTATCACCATGTTGATGTCGCACCTGACAAAAAGGAATTTGTATGAAGGTATTATTAGAAATCAAAACACTGTATCGTAAAAATAAATAACTTGGTAAATATTAAAACTGAATGAAGTTAGTAAATCAATAACATTTTCTGGAACAAACAGATTTTATAGATGTGACATACATGCACATTTTTGAATACGCCATAATATCTACTTCCTTGCTTTAAATTTATTACTATATTAATAACATGATTTTGAACTGTAACAGTTTGATTCATTTCTGCAAACTGTTAATTTTTAATGTTTAAATAATTCAAGTAGCCTACTGTTTTTTTAAGTTAAATGTATAACAGAATACATCCAACACAAATCTACTGCTACATGTTTCATGCCATGTAAGACGTAACTAATATAGTAATATACTAATATACGTGGATTGTGCAAGCTATGAGTTTAATTAATATATATCTTATTACGGTACTAAAATATTTTAATTTCTCACCTTCATATATTTCACTATTTTTGCCAATACACTAAATTTAAACTGTGAACTACCATGTGCAGTTTTGTAGTCAAAATTAGTTGGAACTGATAACAAAAACAAATAAAGTATGGTTTACTGTCTGATTAAATTTATAATTTCGCGAAGATTATAAGATAGCCATTTGAAGATTTTTAGTCACTTATTTTTACGAAAATTGCAACTCAGAACTTCCAAAGTTTTAGTCATTTATTTTTTTTGTAGGTAGTGATTATATAAAGCACATCTCAAGCAATGATTACTACCATTTATTAACCACTGATACCGGTACACTTAATATGGTAAAATGGTATATCTGACTAGCTACATGTATCTTTCCCGGAGTGACGGTTCCTGATTCTACTTGGAGTTAAGCACACAGACTTTTTCCAGGAAATTGGTCCATGACTCTCTCTACTGGATATACACTCGACTTGCATTAATAAAATGAACTAGAGAATACATATCGGAATAGCTTATTCAGATAGGTTTAATCACTGAAGTATGCATTAATATTTCATTTATTTGAAATCCTTTACTACCAATCAGTACAAATACAAATTAAGATTTATAGTGAAATGACTCTTAGTATGGAATGTAGGAAATACCTAGACATGGGTAAGTTTTGATATTATTAGTTTGATAAGATATTAGGTTACATTGCCTTTGCAAGCTATTTCTTATGGCGGGATTTAAGGGCCAAAACTAAATGTATGTTGAAAGTGTTATTATACACCATAGAAAATACCTAATACCTAAGATGCAAAATACATATGTCGTTATACTTATAATGATGAATACCGTTAAAGTAAAAGTCAAATGTCCAATTACAAATGTTTTTTGAAAAAATCCACTAATGTTGCAAAGAACACAACCTTTTCACATATACACTTCAACAAATCAACTTTGCAAAATGACATTTGTGTTTTGTCTTTTAACGCATCTTGAGTTCTTGAGGTCAACGGTCAAAGGACATCGGGTCACATGTAAAATTGTTAAAATGAATGCTCCTAAGAAGGAAAGAACAGATATAGGCTGGACCTTCTTTTAGTATCTGGAGACTTGTCAGTCATGTTGATATTAGATAGGCTAACTATACAGTTCAAATATGTATAATCTAAACAAGGTGCCATCCATTATTGAGATTACTGTTAATCATTCTCAGAAACGAAGTTTGTGGGACATTATATACCCCTATATATATCAATTCGGTTTTAACTGTAGACTAACTAATGTTAATACACCTAGCCTATATAGTCATATTAATTATAAACTTCACACAAAATAGGCCTACATCTAGATTGAACATATTTAGAATATTTTTAATTTAATGTAAATATACTTTTTGATAAATACCGACTTGGGCTGATACAAGTTTAAATTTAATGTAGGCTATATAAAATTATTTTAACCATGGATCTTTCCATCAGGGTCGGGCGTCCTGGCTGTCAGAATGTATAGGCATTTATTATTCATGCGGCATCTTATTTTTTATTTAAAACGGAGGGCCTGGCAAGAGGACAACTGTTTAGTCGTTTATGGGACGAAAAAACCGGGAACCCGTGTGTACATTGGCGTGTACGTAAAAATCCCTTGGTAGTTGGAATTCGATATAAGAGTAGGCCACAGTGCCGCTGCCCGGGCAAAATGCCCCTCATAGCACACTGTATGCCCGTCTTCATTAGGAGCAGAAAATTAGGACGTTAAATCCCATTTCATTTCACTTATTTTTTTTTGCTGTCATATTTTTGTTTAAATACCATTGTCATTGGCCTGTGTAAAGTCAGTAAATTACAGTTTCCTGGGGGAGTTATGGTATTGGTGTTTCATATTTCGGATAACTTTCGTAAACTGCACTTGAGTAAATAAATAAATGAAATTAAATATTAAATCATTATTCACTGTAGTAGGTAGGCATAGGCAAGTATATGGGATGGGATATGAAACGTTTCCATCTCTTGTTATATTAAATTTTTGATTGCTGGCAGGCAGTATAAAAAACTTTAAAACATTGTTGAATGAACCATTTTAAAATCAATCATTGTAATTACTTTCTAAATTAAAGAACATTTCATTAAATGGACTATAATCGTTTTGTTTTCATGAAATGAGCTCCTTAATAACAATTTACAACAAAGAACAGATACAAAATCAAAGTAAAATTTAAATTTTATTTCAAAAGGTTATCGTACATAATAATCATTTAATAAATTTAATCTTTCCAAATATACAGTTTCCGTGCATTTAAATTGACGCAAGATTCCATTAATTGATAATAACAAGTAAAGCGGTAAAGTCAAAATCCATACAACATATAGTGTCCAGAAGGTCACTAAGCAGACAACGACAAGCTTGTTAAATAAGCAGACGACCACAAGCTTATCTTTCCTTCATGGGAGCATGGATCGTACAGTTCTATGATGGGAGCATTCATTTTAACAATTTTACATGTTACCCGATGACCTTTGACCGTTGTCCTTTGACCACAAGAACTCAAGATGCGTTAAAAGACAAAAGACAAATGTCATTTTGCAAAGTTGCTTTGTTGAAGTGTATATGTGAAAATGTTCTGTTCTTTGCAACATTAGTGGATTTTTTCACAAAAACATTTGTAATTTGACATTTGACTTTTACTTTAACGGTATTATGTATTCATCATTATAAGTATAACGACATATGTATTTTGCATCTTAGGTATTAGGTATTTTCTATGATGTATAATAACACTTTCAACTTACATTTAGTTTTGGCCCTTAAATCCCACCATAATTTCAAATTTAACATTATTGGTAAGTCAACAGAAAATGATATTTACAAAAACAATAATCTACCTTTTGGTGGTTGGGATTTAACTTTATGTCTTTTAGATGAAGGTTCACTAGTGTCTGGTTTTGACTTGTGTTTTCTTTTCTCCACTGAAGGCTGGTTTTTAGCCCTCTTTAAGAATGCTTCTCTTTCTTTTAAAAGTGATGGATCCATCTTAAAACTGTTCTAGAAATTATACAATTATAAAGTTTAATAGTGACAGCTGATGTTTCAGTCTAGTGCTGGGTATTGCGAATGCAGTCACGATAGGATATGCATTGGGATTCAAGTACCACGATACAATTTGTATCACAATTTATAACCAGCGGCCTGTTTCACGAAATTTTAACTAAGATAAAATCCAAATTTTAGTAATTTGATTGGATAAAGTCAATCGGATATTAACTTTAGCCTCTAAAGCATCCACAAGGGCCATAACTCTGACAGTAATTATCGAAAATCAATATGATTCTTTGTCTCATGACAGAGTCACGGTGGCTAAGTGGGTAAGACGTTGGCTCGCTAACCTGGAGGTCGCGTGTTCGATCCCTGCATTGGCTGAGAAAGTTCATCAAGATTTTCCGATGTGGTTTCCCCTTGTCAGTGGTGCAGGACGGAGGGCCTGACAAGGACAGCTGTCTAGTCGTTCGGATGGCACAAAAAAACGAGGTCCACGGAAAAGATCCCTTGACAGTTGGAATTCAATATAAGAGTAGGCCTTAGTGCCGCTGCCTGGGCAACATTTCCCTCATAGCACACAGTATGGCGTATGCCTGTCTTCATTAGCCCAGTCGGAGCAGAACAGTAGGAGGTTAAACCCCATTTCATTTCGTCTCATAACCTTAAACCCTGTGTATAAATTTAAAGTCAATCGGATATTAACTTTAGCATATAGAGAGCGCCCACAAGATATTTTAAAGTGATCAAGAGTCATAACTGGCAGTAATTATCAGAAATCATTGAAAATCAATAGGCTTCTTCGTCTCAAGACCTTAAACACTGTGTATAAATTTAAATTCAATAGGATATTAACTTTAGCCTCTAGAGTGTCCATAAGATATTTCAAAGTGATTAAGGGCCATAAGTCTGGCAGTAATTATCGGAAATCGTTGAAAATCAAAACACTTCTTCGTCTCATGACCTTAAACACTGTGTATAAATTTCAAGTCAATCGGATATTAACTTTTTAAGCCACCAGAGCAGCCACAAGATTTTTTAGAGTGATCAAGGGCCATAACTCAGGCAGTAATTATCAGAAATTGTTGAAATTTTTAGGCATTTTCGTCTCATGACCTGAAACACTGTGTATAAATTTAAGGTCAATTGGATATTAAATTTTGCCTCTAGACCCAATAATCATCCAAATGAAAATTCTGACCCAAAATATTTGGATCACAGTTCAGCTCAAATTATCTAATCAGTAATAGCTTAGAAAAGTGTGAAGTACTTAATGGGGAGTAACCAATCAGTTGATTAAATAGTACATGTGTGAACCTTTCTGGGATGGCAATGAGCCGTGAGTCTTTCAATACATTGTATTGATTAGCTGAAACCATGTTCAAATTGGTTCTTTTTATCAAATGCATTGCCTTTACATTATCTAGTTTTTAACTATTATCGTGAGAACTGCCAACTCGTTATCAAATCTCCCATCATAATGTATCTTTAATATAAGTATTTATATTATGGTATTATCTGTATTATGCAATATTTATGTTAATAAATATCATTTCGTACATGTAATAAATGGTATGTTTTTTTTGGCTGTTACGACCATTTTGTATGGCCGCTATGACCAATTTGTATGGCCGTTATTACCAAATTTTTTGGCCGTTATGGTTTAGGGCCGTTATGTCTATAACCCCATTTGTGTAGTTGTACTCTCTGAAGTAGTAAGTTTTTACACTTACGAAACGTTAGATTCTATAAAGATGGTTTTGTGGTACCTAAGACTTTGTTTTTAACCACATGAAAATGTGGGCGCATAAAAAACCATCACATTGATGATAGCCCTACTCATAGTAGCTACGAGAACATAACTAAAAACGTTGAGATATACTAATGTGCTTGTTTTTAGAAACGATTGGGTGCCTTTTTAGTTTCACCTGGCAAACTTAATTTCTTATTAACACATGTACCAACTTAAAAATAAGTTAATTTTATACTATTAGTACTTATTACACATGCAGCCCAATCTACTGAACTAACAGTCATTTATCAGCAAATATTGACAATAAAGTAAATCAAGCGTTGTTTTTATCAAAATTGATACAGACATTCATAATTACAGCGTATTACTCCTGCTCAACTCTGATCAGGTTAGTACTTTAATTAAGGATGTAAACGGTCACTCGGTTAACCGGTCACGGTTCGGTTGCACTGTTGAACCGGTTCAAAAAATTACTAATCGGTATTCGTTTTCATATGATACCTGACTTTCAAACACAGGAATGATAGCCACAACATTGTTTTCTTTCACTGAGACCACATAAATATTTCAAATAGCACTTGTCATTTGTAATAAGTCTGGAGAATTTAATAACTCTAAATTCCCCCCTCGAGGTTTTGACATTTGTATACGTTATTATCCCTCGCTGCCAAGCATTAAATAGCCTCAACTGATTGACAGATTAATTGTTTACAGTATTAACCTCATCACTCCATAAAAAAAGTCTCAAAAGGAAACAAGTATGATGTGATGAAATAATATTAAAAAAGAATAGTAAAATTGTTTATATTATCACTCGATTGCGCAATGCTGTGGGGTCAAAGTTGACATACGGGTCACTGGTACCATACGATACAGCATGGCTTGTGATAGCAACACATGTAGTAAATTCTTTGGAATTAGATGATGTTGAATAATCAAACTTATTTTGTATTTAAAAATCCAAAGGTATGCTTTCAAATATTGATTTCATAATTAATCTTATGAAGTATTAATGAAGCTTTTTTTTAAAAAAAAAAATCAACATGATTTCAATTCAACTGCCATTGGTCTATACCTCACATTACGTGACCTGTCAGCATGCAAATTAAGATGGAGAAATGAAACATCAAGAATGAATGAATGAATGAATGAATGAATGAATGCAATTTGTACTGACTGTTAACTTAAAAGCTGTGATACTAATAATTTAAAAATATATTATCAAGTCTTATTTTGATAGAAATTTTTGTATGGGTTAACCGGTTACGGTTTGGTTTTTAACGACCAGTTAACCGGTTCAAGAATTTTTGAACCGTTACATCCTTAACTTTAATTGGCTAAATGGCCCTGCCTTTATGTGTTAAAGACGTAAATTTAAAATGTTGGAGAAAGCAATCTATTATCGCTTCGATTTTCTGCTTAATTGAAGTTGGATGTGGCACAAGTGTTATAAATAAGAATAATCAATCGCTGTTTTCATGAAAAATATTGTCAATTTTTCTTACTGATGCCCAATGCAATTTGCGCTGCGCTTTGCTACATGGAACTATATAGGACCATCTCTTATCTCGAAACACGGAGGGTTGAGAGATGAGGTTTGTTATCTATACCGTACTGATTTTACTCATAGAATAGATTAGGCCTCTAGTAGTACATAACTTTTTAACTAGCCTAAGCCAGAGGCAGAGGAGATAAATAAAAGTCAGGAGAAAACCTCCAAACTTTACCCTGTTTTAAATGATATATTTTCTTTTTTAAATGCAAATCTTATCTACATTTCTGATTTCTGTTTATGTCTTCATGTCATTAACCAATTCCTATTGGTTTTCCCCTCAAAACAGTTTAACTGTGGTTTTGGTTTTTTTTACTTCAATTAGATGGCTGTTCACTCCTCCAATAAAAAAGATCACAACAAGGGGAGATTAGCCTATATTTGCCGCACCGGTAAAAACAAAAGTTAGAAGTTTTTTACATTTTCATTTCTCTTTAATTTTTAATGCGTTATATTTACAGAGAGTAGTGTTTCACTTTTTGGAAAAGAGCTCCACAGTGGCTTTGTCCACGTGTAAAGGTTGATGACAATCTGATTACGAATGATTAAAAAAGAAATGATGAACTTCCGGTAACATGTATGACGTCATTTTCATGCGCAGTTAACCAAGGGGCGTCGAACATCCGCCATATTTGTTCAGACTTCGATAGGTTAACTAAACAAAAGAGCAATATATCCATAATTATCGAAGCCATCTGTAGTTGTTATTGAATTTATGTGTAACGGGAATATTTTCTGTTGAATAACACGTTCGTTTCATATTTTATTTTGGGGTGTTTGCTAAATATTTCGGTGACAGAAGTGTTTGTTTACACCGACTGTCAATCGGAAAAGTCAAAATATGGGGACGAAAGATGACGAGTACGATTATTTATTTAAAGGTGAGCATCCCAAGTAGAAACATACGTGGTGAATAAGATGTTTCATATCTTTATATGTTTTTATTTTATGTACAAGGTTTCAATTATAGATGGATATGATGTGTTGTGGAACAAACCGAATAGCCTAGAAGCGGATTAATAGTAACTCGAAAAGTCACTGACGACGACACTGACCTGTCTATAAATTTCGGGTTTAAAATTAAGCCTATGCTATTCTGCTAGAAACCAATAAGTTATGTCATTAATAAAATACAGTTGACTATGATGACATAAAATTATTTATAACAGACACAGTTGACAGTCACTGTACCATATTGATTTCTTGCAGAACTCTTGAATTCATTTCTGAGAAGACGACTAAGACGTAGCTGGTATGATCTACACGGCTAGAAGGCCTAGACCTAGTAGTAGCCTTAATTTGAAAAAATGTCTGCTAGTGCTAGCCATAATGCTAAGAGTGACATTAATACTGCAGTTTCAACTGGAACAACAAACTTATTAGCAGATGAGCTGTGTACACATTGGCGTGCACGTAAAAGATCAATTGACAGTTGGAATTCGATATAATAATAGGCCATAGTGCCGCTGCCCTGGCAAAATTTCCTGCATACCATAGCACACTGTATGGCGTATGCCCGTCTTCATTAGCCCAGTTCGGAGCAGAACAGTAGGACGTTAAACCCCATTTCATTTTATTTCCCAACACCTCTTCTACCTACTGTAATGTAGTTATATGTATTATATCACTGCATGTTTATTGAAATATGTGTAAGGCGCACATTATAAGTACCAGTACACTGAAAGATTTATAACAATATTCCATTTACACAAAAATTTATGCCATGAATTTAAAAATTTAGGTACTTCCATTCCAAAGAATATGGAGGCTCGGTTGCTCAGTGGCTCTCTTGAGTTAGACATTGGCTTACTAACCATGATGTTAAGTGTTCGATCCCTAAGTGGCCGGGAAAGTTGTCCAGCATATTTTCTAATGGTCATTGGTGCAGGATTCCTAGTCAGTTGGAGGATCAGAAAACCAAGGCCTTGCGTACGTTAAAGAACCTTTGGATAGAATTCAATTGCTTTCCAGACAAAATTTCCCTCATAACAAATTCAATGGCATATTCCGTCTTTATTAGTAGCGCAGTTGGTGCATAAAAGTAGAACCTTAAATCTAATTTCATTCATTACAGCTTATTAAACTCTCAAATATCTCGGCCATTTTGTTACATTTATTGAGTCATATATTTATTTATGTATGACACATGTACAAATGTAGCAGGCCAGCATGGAGTTTGTGTTAAAAAATTTATATTTAGAGCATTATGTGTACTTCACTTACAAGTATAATTTTACTTATTACTATTGGACTATTTTTATAAATTGCTAAAAATATCTAATTCCTCCTAATCAGGGTTTAAATCATTAATTTACGGAGCTAGGTGTACTAAAGCAACAAATTCTAAAACTACCCATTTATGATCAGCCCAACAGATCTGTTATTTATAATCCGTGATGACTAGTAGTAGTCTAGAACCAAGATGCTGTACTTGTTGTGTACACATGCATGCTGCAGTGAGTGACTTGGATAAAATCAACGGAATCTGGAAAAGTAATTAATACATATCATTTTCCAATATCCACCTGTATAGAAACCCCCAAATGTCCTGAATAATTCAATGATGTAAGCTCTTCTTATTTTATTAATGATAACACTTTTTTTCTTTTCTTTTTCAGTTGTTTTGATTGGTGATTCTGGTGTAGGAAAAAGTAATCTTTTGTCAAGATTCACAAGAAATGAATTTAATTTAGAAAGTAAAAGTACCATTGGTGTAGAATTTGCTACAAGGTAAGTTATATAACTTACTGCAGTTGTTGGCCTACTTGCTGTACATTGATACATCAAACAAATATTGGCATTTTTACCTTCAAAAACATGGGACTATTAGAATGGGTTTGTCTGTCTGTCCGTCACACTTTTTGGGACACAATAACTCTCCTAATTGAGCTAGAATGTTCAAACTTGGTGTAGGTGTTTATTAAGTCAATGCCTTGATGGAGTTTGAAGATAAGCATTTTCTGCTTTGGGTAAGCAGAGATAAGCAATTTGATTGGTTGATGCTTTGGGACCCAATAACTTTAGTTCTAATTAAGTGAGAGTGATGAAATTTGGTATATAGTTTCATTACATCAATACCTTGACTAAGTTCGATAATGAGCATTCTCTGCTCAGGGTAAGCAGAGCAAAAAGCAATTTGATTGGTTGAGACTTTGGAACACAATAACTCTCATTCTAATTGAGCTAGAATGTGCTTTGGGGCCCGATAACTAGGGTTATATTTAATTGAGAGTGATGAAACTCCAAGTATAGATTCATTATATTACCCTACGTAACTAACGTACGAAAATTAAATGGTAGCTAGGGTGGGTCTGTCGTTCAGATTGATCATTACCTTGACTAACAAACATGATCAGCAATTTGATTGGTCAAGACTTTGGAACGTAACAACTGTACTTTTAATTGAGGTAGAATGTTTAAAGGAGCTAAATCGCTAATATTTTGGACCAAGAAATTGGCACAAATGGGTCTGAACACATATAATAATGTAATATGAATTTATATAAATTGTTATACATTAAATCGTGTCCGTTTTACTGTGAATTGTCATCAGTTATGTTCGGCGAAATACGCCCGAAGTCTCAACCGCAAGTCAGTTTCTAGCGTCTGGTTATTCCAGTCAACACCGATATTATTTATTGCTCATGCTCTCCAAATAAGAACATGATATCACTGTTTGACATGACTTGTGGAATATATTGTCTAGCCTCATTCTTTGAGCACCTTGTTACAAATGACGCCTAAACGCATTCTGGTACACGATTCGTTTACCAATGGTAAAATGTTTGTTTTGTCTTAAATATTGGATATCAGAAGCCCATCTTTTCCAGGTAAGATCACAACACCAATGCTGATTTAAATTGAAAAAAAATTTGTGTTTTCAATGTCGAAGATTTTGGATGATACTGAGTTACGGACTTAGCTACTTTAAACTTGATGTAGATGTTCATTAAGTGAATGTCTTGACTGAGTTCAATGATTAATATTTCAAGCTAAGCTGAGCTAAGCAATTTCATTGATTGATGTCTTGGGGCAAGATAACTTTGATTCTGTCTGATAGAGAGTGATGAAACTTAGTGTATACATTTAATAATCAGTTTGATTGCTTGATACTTTTGAAAAAAATAAATGTGCGATTAATTAATATGTGTCATCTATCTATTTTGGGATTTCAGCGGGGGACATCAGCCTCACTGTTGGCTTGTTTTTCTTAAACCAGTTGGTTGTTTTACAATCTGCAACCTGCCAGATTCTCTGTACAAAAAGAATTTATGTTACACATACATGGACAGGATTTTATTCACATGTCCATATTCTATTGAATTGCAATAAATTAGTATATAAGTATATTTATTTGTAAATTGTAAAACAATTCTGATGTTATTGGAACAAAATTTTTCTCTTGCTAACTATTAAATAAACTTCCAAATGATATTTTTGGTATCTTTTTCTACTGTTCTATTTTTGGTGAATTTTTATACGCCCACATTTTCATGTTGACGTATATTGTCGTCGCCCCTGTTTGTCCGGACCATCCACAATTTGTTTGTGGAGACCCTACAGGTCACAATTTTTATCTGATTTCAACAAAACTTGAAATATAGCTTCATGGATTATGGCCCCTGATTATTTATGAAAAATCACGTTTTTAGCTTGTGGACACTCTAGAGGTCACAATTTTGATCCGATATTGATGAATCTTGAAATGCATGTTTATAACCCTTGGTTCCTTTCGATATTCGTGCATATCGGACTGTAACTTCCTGAATTATGGCCCCTGATTGTACAAAAAATCACGTTTTTAGATTGTGGACGGCTGAGTTCGAATTTCGTGAAAATCGGCCCAAAACTGACAGACAAAATGGCCGCCATTCGTTCTCAAATAGCGTAAAAAATATGGTATATCAAGGTTGTGGACCCTATAGAGGTCACAATTTTTATCCGGTTTGGTTGAAACTTGAAATGTAAGTTTATAACCCAAAGATTTCATTTACTTTTGATATTTGCGCATATCGGACAGTAACTTCCTGAATTATGGCCCCTGATTGTACGAAAAATCACGTTTTTAGCTTGTGGACCCTATAGAAGTCATAATTTTTATCCGATTTAAAAAAACGTTCTATTATATCACCGTTACACCCTAAGGATGACTGAGTACGAATTTCGTGAAAGCGGCCCAAAATTGACAGACAAAATGGCCGCCGTTTGTTCCCAAATAGGGTAAAAATATGGTATATCAAGGTTGTGGACCCTATAGGGGTCACAATTTTTATCTGATTTTGTTGAAACTTGAAATGTAAGTTTATAACCCAAAGATCTCGGTTTCTTTCGATATTCGTGCATATCGGACCGTAACTTCCTGAATTATGACCCCTGATTGTACGAAAAATCACGTTTTTAGCTTGTGGACCCTATAGAAGTCATAATTTTTACCCGATTTAAAAAAAACGTATTATTATATCACCGTTACACCCTAGGGATGACTGAATTCGAATTTCGTGAAAATTGACAGACAAAATGGCCGTCGTTCGTTCTCAAATAGCGTAAGAAAATGGTATATCAAGGTTGTGGACCTATAGAGGTCACAATTTTTATCCGATTTTGTTGAAACTTGAAATGTAAGTCTATAACCCAAAGATCTCGGTTCCTTTCGATATTCGCGCATATTGGACCGTAATTTCCTGAATTGTGGCCCCTGATTGTACAAAAAATCACGTTTTTAGCTTGTGGACCCTATAGAGGTCATAATTTTTATCCGATTTATAAAAACGTATTATTATATCACCGTTACACCCTAAGGACGACTGAGTGAAAATCGGCCCAAAATTGACAGACAAAATGGCCGCCATTCGTTCTGGAATAGCATAAGAATATGTTATATCAAGGTTGTGGACCCTATAGAGGTCACAATTTTTTATCCGATTTTGTTGAAACTTGAAATGTAAGTTTATAACCCAAAGATCTTGGTTCCTTTCGATATTCGCACATATCGGACCGTAACTTCCTGAATTATAGCCCCTGATTGTACGAAAAATTGGGTTTTTAGCTTGTGGATCCTATAGAGGTCATAATTTTTATCCGATTTAAAAAAACCTATTATTATATCACCGTTACACCCTGAGGACGACTAAGTTCGAATTTCGTGAAAATCGGCCCAAAATTGACAGACAAAATGGCTGCCGTTCGTTCAGTTCCTTTCGATATATGCGCATATCGAATTGTAATTTCCTGAATTATGGCCCTTGATTGTAGGAAAAATCACTTTCTTGTTAGCTTGTTCTCTATCCATCTCTCGAAAATGTGGGCGTATCCTTCCTGGCAGCCGCTGGTTAATAGAATGAGATACAAATGTACATTGACGAAGATGACACACGAAAATTTCGCTAAAAAAATTAAAAATATCCATTTCCCCGTTGCTCACACTGTTAATGTTTGGGGTTCGGTAAAAGATCGAGGAAACGCGGTGGAGCGCAGTTTCTACTCCAAGGGAGACAATTCCATTTAATACTTGTCTTACTTATGACCTTGGAAATGTGACCTTTGTTGACGGTTTTCCTTGACTTTCGTTTTTCTGTTTTTTCGTTTTTCTGTTTGTCTGTCACTCTTTGTCATCGGGAGATGTTAAGATGGGTGGAAGGGGCACAGCCCGGCAAGACATTGAATAATAAGAAACGCGGATCCGGTGACGATGTTGCTCAAGTAGTATAGCAGAATCATGGCGCAGGTATGAAACAGTGTCACATAAACGTGAATTTAAACAACATTGGCTAATTGGGAGGCCCTGGTTAAATGTGAACCAGAGGGAGAATGTCTCAGAATGATTCTGTTTCTATGACCTTTTCCTACTGCATCAAAACTAATAAAAATAACCGATTTGTGGATGCGATCACTGGAAACTTTAGGATTGTAAAGGCTGAACATTTTATCTTAATGAATAACAAAATATATGACCTAATAAAAATTTCTTTTTTATACGCCCACATTGAAATGTGGTCGTATATTGTCGTCACCCCTGTCCGTCGGTCCGGCGCCCACAATTGCTTGTGGACGCTCTAGAGGCTAAAGTTAATATCCGATTGACTTTAAATTTATACACAGTGTTTAAGGTCATGAGACGAAGAAGCCTATTGATTTTCAGTGATTTCCGATAATTACTGCCAGAGTTATGGCCCTTGATCACTTCAAAAAGTCTTGTGGACGCTCTAGAGGCTAAAGTTAATATCCGATTGACTTTAAATTTATATACAGTGTTTAAGGCCATGAGACGAAGAAGCCTATTGATTTTCAGCGATTTCCAATAATTACTGTCAGAGTTATGGCCCTTGATCACTTCAAAAAATCTTGTGGACGCTCTAGAGGCTAAAGTTAATATCCGATTGACTTTAAATTTATACACAGTGTTTAAGGTCACAAGACGAAGAAGCCTATTGATTTTCAGCAATTTCCGATAATTACTGCCAGAGTAATGGCCCTTGATCACTTCAAAAAATCTTGTGGACGCTCTAGAGGCTAAAGTTAATATCCGATTTACTTTAAATTTATACACAGTGTAAGGTCATGAGACGAAGAAGCCTTTTGATTTTCAGCGATTTCTGATAATTACTGCCAGAGTTATGGCCCTAGATCACTTCAAAAAATCTTGTGGACGATCTAGAGGCTAAAGTTAATATCCGATTTACTTTAAATTTATACACAGTGTTTAAGGTCATGAGACGAAGAAGCCTATTGATTTTCAGCGATTTCAGATAATTACTGCCAGAGTTATGGTCCTTGATCACTTTCAAAAATCTTGTGGACGCTCTAGAAGTCAAAGTTAATATCCGATTGACTTTAAATTTTTACACAGTGTTTAATGTCATGAGACGAAGAAGCCTATTGATTTTTAGCGATTTCCGATAATTACTGCCAGCGTTATGGCCCTTGATCCCTTTGAAAAATCTTGTCAACGCTCTAGAGGCTAAAGTTAATATCCGATTGACTTTAAATTTATACACAGTGTTTAATGTCATGCGACGAAGAAGCCTATTGATTTTCAGCGATTTCAGATAATTACTGCCAGAGTTATGGTCCTTGATCACTTTCAAAAATCTTGTGGACGCTCTAGAAGTCAAAGTTAATATCCGATTGACTTTAAATTTTTACACAGTGTTTAATGTCATGAGACGAAGAAGCCTATTGATTTTTAGCGATTTCCGATAATTACTGCCATAGTTATGGCCCTTGATCACTTTGAAAAATCTTCTGACACTCTAGAGGCTAAAGTTATCATCCGATTGACTTCAGATTGATACACAGAGTTTAAGGTCTTGAGACGAACAAGTATATTGATTTTCAATGAATTTTTATGACTTGAACAACTAAATCCATGATGTTAAAAGTTTTCTATACTAAACATTAGCATGGGGCAGAACTTTATAAAAACCAAACAAATTCTAATGGTTTTCTGATAATTACTTAATTAGTTGTTACTCTTTATCAGATTTTAATGTATTATAAATGTTTAATTACCCAATAAAGTAAAAATATGCGACAACTCTTGTTGACTCCCCGGACGATTTAACTGCTGTGGGCGTATGTTTCGTTGCCTGGCAACCTATCTTTATTTCAATTGACCATTTCCATCTGACTGCTGATGGTACAGTAAAAAAATTTTGGTGCAAGTAAACATTGTCATTGTACTTGCCCGCAGTACAATGGTGCAGACTGATCAAACTTTTTTGTATGTTTTAGGAGTATACAAGTAGATGCTAAAACAATAAAAGCTCAGATCTGGGATACAGCTGGTCAAGAAAGGTATCGGGCTATAACTAGCGCGTAAGTATTTATTTATCTTTGGATTCTGTCAGTTTTACCTTGGCTTCTTTTTTTGGGGGGTGGGGGGTTGTTAAAGTCACATTAATGCCATGGTTCATAAATTAGGTTAAACCGTGCATGTATATTAATTTTTATACGCCCACATTGAAATGTGGTCGTATATTGTCGTCGGTCCGGCGTCCACAATTGCTTGTGGACGCTCTAGAGGCCGAAGTTAATATCCGATTGACCTTTAATTTATACACAGTGTTTAAGGTCTTGAGACGAAGAAGCCTATTGATTTTCAGCGATTTCCGATAATTACTGCCAGAGTTATGGCCCTTGATCACTTAAAAAAATCTTGTGGACACTCTAGAAGCCAAAGTTAATATCCGATTGACCTTCAATTTATACACAGTGTTTAAGGTCTTGAGACGAAAAAGCCTATTGATTTTCAACGATTTCCGATAATTACTGCCAGAGTAATGGCCCTTGATCACTTCAGAAAATCTTGTGGACGCTCTAGAAGCCAAAGTTAATATCCGATTGACCTTAAATTTATACACAGTGTTTAATGTATGAGACAAAGAAGCCTATTGATTTTCAGAGATTTCCGATAATTACTGCCAGAGTTATGGCTCTTGATCACTTCAAAAAATCTTGTGGATGCTCTAGAAGCCAAAGTTAATATCCGATTGACCTTTTATTTATACACAGTGTTTAAGGTCATGAGACGAAGAATCCTATTGATTTTCAGCGATTTCTGATAATTACTGCCAGAGTTATAGCCCTTGATCAGTTTGAAAAATCTTGTGGACGCTCTATAGGCCAAAGTTAATATCCGATTGACCTTAAATTTATACACAGTGTTTAAGGTCATGTAATGAAGAAGCCTATTGATTTTCAGCGATTTCCGATAATTACTGCCAGAGTTATGGCCCTTGATCACTTTGAAAAATCTTGTGGACGCTCTAGAGGCCAAAGTTAATAATCCGATTAACTTTAAATTTATACACAGTGTTTAAGGTCATGAGACGAAGAAACCTATAGATTTTCAACAATTTCCGATAATTACTGCCAGAGTTATGGCCCTTGATCACTTCACAAAATCTTGTGGATGTTCTAGAGGCTAAAGTTAGTATCCAATTGACTTTAAATTTATGCACAGTGTTTGAGGTTATGAGACGAAGAATCTTATTGATTTTCAGCGATTTCTGATAATTACTGCCAGAGTTATAGCCCTTGATCACTTCAAAAAATCTTGTGGACGTTCTAGAGGCCAAAGTTAATATTCGATTGACTTTAAATTTATACACAGTGTTTAAGGTCGTAAGATGAAGAAGCCTATTGTTTTTCAGCGATTTCCGATAATTACTGGCAGATTATCAACGATTTTCAACGATATCCGCTCTAAAGGCTAAAGTTATCATCCGATTGACTTCAGATTGATACACAGAATTTAAGATCTTGAGACGAACAAGTGTATTGATTTTCAATGAATTTTTATGACTTGAACAAATCCATGATATTAAAAGTTTTGTATACAAAACGTTGGCATGGGGCAGAACTTTATAAAAACCAAACAAATTCTAATGGTTTTCTGATAACTACTTAATGAGTTGTTGCTCTTAATCAGATTTTAGTGTATTATAAATGTTTCATTACCGAAAAAACTAAGAATATGCGACAACTCTTGTTGACTGCCTGGACGATTTAGCTGCTGTGGGCGTATGTTTCGTTGCCTGGCAACCTATCTTTGTTTTAACAGGTACTTAATTTCTTTTGCATAGTTAAACATCAGTTGGATAGTAGATCTGAAAGATACCCAGAATGTTGTTCTATAATAATAGCAGTGATTAGAATGAAATAAAATAGGTTTCTTTAATTTCAGGTATTATAGAGGAGCTGTTGGTGCACTGTTAGTCTATGATATTGCTAAACATTTGACATATGAAAATGTAGAAAGATGGTTAAAAGAATTACGAGATCATGCTGACCAGAATATTGTCATAATGCTTGTAGGAAATAAAAGTGATTTAAGACATCTGCGAGCTGTGCCAACAGATGAAGCCAAAGTATTTGCAGGTGTGAATTTGAAATATTGTCGTCGCCCCGTTTGTCAGTCTGGCGTCCACAATTGATTGCTTTGAAAAATCTAGTGGACGTTCTAGGGGCTAAAGTTAATACATGTACCCGATTGACTTTAAATTTATACACAGTGTTTAAGGTCATTCATTTTCACCGATTTCTGATAATTACTGCCAGAATTATTGTCCTTGATCACTTGTAAAATTTTTGTGGACGCTCTCGAGGCTAAGTTAATATTTGATTGAATTTACATTTATACACTGTGTTTAAGGTCATGAAACGATGAGGCCTATTGATTTTCACCGATGCCAGAGTAATGCCCTTGATCACTTTGAAAAATCTTGTGGACGCTCTGGAGGCTAAAGTTAATATTCGATTGACTTTAAATTTATACATAGTGTTTAAGGTCATGAGACAAAGAAGCCTATTGATTTTCAGTGATTTCCGATAATTACTGCCAGAGTTATGGCCCTTAATCACTTTGAAAAATCTTGTGGGCGCTCTAGAGGCTAAAGTTAATATCCGATTGACTTTAAATTTATACACAGTGTTTAAGGTCATGAGACGAAGAAGTCTATTGATTTTCAGCGATTTCCGATAATTACTGCCAGAGTTATGGCCCTTGATCACTTCAAAAAATCTTGTGGACGCTCTAGAGGCCAAAGTTAATATCCGATTGATCTTAAATTTATACACAGTGTTTAAGGTCATGAGACGAAGAAGCCTATTGATTTTCAGCGATTTCCATAATTACTGTCAGAGTTATGGCCCTTGATCACTTCAAAAAATCTTGTGTACGCTCTAGAGGCCAAAGTTAATATCCGATTGATCTTAAATTTATACACAGTGTTTAAGGTCATGAGACGAAGAAGTCTATAGATTTTCAGCGATTTCCGATAACTACTGCCAGAGTTATGGCCCTTGATCACTTCAAAAAATCTTGTGGACGCTCAAGAGGCCAAACTTAATATCTGATTGACTTTAAATTTATAATCCAATTTTAGTTTATTATAAATGTTTCATTACCGAAAATTAAAAATATGTGACAACTCTTGTTGACTGCCCGGACGATTTAGCTGCCGTCGCCCCCATCCGTCCATTCTATTGAATTTCAGCAATTTCCGTTAATTACGTCTAGAGTTATGGCCCTTGTTTTGATTTATTGAACCTTGTGAACGCTCCATCACCAAAAGTTATCACCGAATCTTTGTGAAATGTATATGCATTATTTAGATTAGTGAAACGAAAAAGCCTATTGAATTTCAGCAATTTCCGTTAATTACGTCTAGAGTTATGGCCCTTGTTTTGCTTTATTGAACCTTGTGAACGCTCCATCACCAAAAGTTATCACCGAATCTTTGTGAAATGTATATGCATTATTTAGATTAGTGAAACGAAAAAGCCTATTGAATTTCAGCAATTTCCGTTTATTACGTCTAGAGTTATGGCCCTTGTTTCACTTTATTGAACCTTGTGAACACTCCATCACCAAAAGTTATCACCGAATCTTTTTGAAATGTATATGCATTATTTAGATTAGTGAAACGAAAAAGCCTATTGAATTTCAGCAATTTCCGTTTATTACGCCAAAAGTTATCACCCGATCTTTGTGAAATTTATATGCATGATTTTAATTAGTGAAACGAAAAAGCCTATTGAATTTCAGCAATTTACAATAATTACTTCTAGAGTTATTGCCCTTGTTTCATTTTGTTAAACCTTGTTAATGCTCGATTGATGAAAGTTATCATCCAATATGTATGAAATTTATATGCATTATTTAAATTAGTAAAACGAAAAAGCCTGTCAAATTTCAACAATATCTGTAGATTACTTCCAGAGTTGAGACCCTTGTTTCAGTTTGTAGAACCTTGTAAACCCTCAAACGACAAAATTTATAATCTGATTTGTATGGCACTGTCTTGTAAAGACCCCCAATTACCTACAAAGGAATAAATATTCGACAACCCTTGTCGACCGCTCGGACGATTTAGCTGCTGTGGGTGTATGTTTTGTTGTCTGGCAACCTATCTTAATATCATTAGAAAGATAATTGAGCGATCTTTCTGACAATCTAGGCTGACAAACACAAGGTTTTATTAATACATCAGGCCTTGATTTGATATTGTTGACGGAAATATACAAATAAAAAAAGGGAGTTCCTCTACGATAGCCTACATTTGAAGGAATAATGAAAATATTCAAATGGAAAATAGGCCTACATTGTAAAAACAAAACAATTCTTTCAATCAAAATCATAGCATTAGCAACATAGTCATAATGTAGGCCTATAGCTTCCAGGGCCTAGGCCTAGATGTACCTTAGCCTACTGGCGTCTGGGTACCTAGCCTACTTTGAGTTTTGTAACCTACAGTAATATTTTAGGTTGATATAACCATATTCATTATGGCAAAAAGGTAAGCACCTATACCATAGTATTCTCTTTTACTTCCTTTAGTAATATTGTAACCTTGACATTTGACCAAATTAAGAATGGAATATATATTTACAATATATTCTAACTAAAGTAATACAATGAGTATTGCTAGAGGGCAGGATTTGACTGAAAATCAGGCTAAAAACAAAACATATGATCTGATGAATATAATTTGTAATATTTCACTGTAATTATTTTCTCCTTTTTTTCAGAGAAAAATTCATTATCCTTTATAGAGACTTCAGCTTTAGACTCAACAAATGTAGAAGCTGCTTTTCAGAATATTTTAACAGGTTGGTTGAATTTCAAAATATATAATGACCCATTATTATATTGTTGTGGTCAAATCTGTTTGTCACTGGAAGAAGTCATCAGCATAATACTAATTTTAATTGAATATCTGATATTTATGAATAATGACCATGACTTAAAGCTATTCCAGCATAAAACGGTGTTCCAGAACCAGACTGCAGTTTTTTGGCGGTGTTTTCGAATCCACTTTCAACAGAATTTACATTTTAATGGCTGTTGTGACCTACAGAAATTCCGTTTTTATACGCCCACATTTTCATGTGGATGTCTATTGTCGTCGCCCTTGTCCGTCCGTCCACAATTGTTTGTGGACACTCTACAGGTCACAATTTTTATCCAATTTCAACAAAAGATCCTTTCGATATTGCCTTGTATCGGACCGTAACTTCATGGATTATGGCCCCTGATTGTACAAAAAATCATGTATTTAGCCTGTTAACCCTATAGAGGTCACAATTTTGTATCCGATTTTGTTGAAACTTGAATTAAGTTGATAACCCAAAGATCTCTGTTCCTTTCGATATTCGAGCATATCGGTCCAATTGTCGTCCACAATTGTTTGTGAACAGTCTACAGGTCACAATTTATCCTATTTCAATTAAACTTGAAATATAGGTTAATCACCCTAAGATCTCGGTTCCTTTCGACATTGGCATGTATCGGACTGTAACTTCATGGATTATGGCCCCTGATTATACGAAAAATCACGTTTTTAGCTTGTGAACACTGTAGAGGTCACAATTTCTATCCGATTTGGTTTAAACTTGAAATGTATGCTTATAACCCAAAGATCCTTTGATATTCGCACATATCGGAACATTTCTTCTGATTTTGATGAAACTTGAAATGCAAGTTTATAACCCAAAGATCTTGGTTCCTTTCAGTATTCACGCATATCGGATAGTAACTTCCTGAGTTATGGCCCCTGATTGTACGAAAAATCGCGTTTTTAGCTTAAGGTCCCTCTAGATATCACAATTATTATCCATTTAAAAAAAAACGTTCACGATTTTTATCCGATTTAAAAAAAACAAGTGAATATATCACCGTTAACACTAAGATCTTGGTCCCTTTTGATAATCGTGTATATACGAACGTAACTTCCTGGATTATGGCTCCTGATTGTTCGAAAAATCTCATTTTTAGTTTGCGGATTCTCTAGGTCACAATTTTAAAAACCATTTAAATATTTCACCATTCCACCATAATGAGGGTTGAATTCGAATTTGCGCATTTCAGACCATAACTTTCCGGATTTTTGCCCCTGATTTACAAAAAATCCTCTGGGGATCACGTGGTTAAGTCGGTAAGACGCTGGCTCGCTAGCCTGGAGGTCGGGTGTTCGATCCCTGCATTGGCCGAGAAAGTTCATCCTGATTTTCCGGCGTGGTTTCCCCTTGTCAGTGATGCAGGACGGAGGGCCTGACAAGGACAGCTGTCTAGTCCTTTGGATGAGACAAAAAACCGAGGTTCTGTGTATACATTGGAATGCACGTAAAAGATCCCTTGGCAGTTGGAATTCGATATAAGAGTAGGCGATAGTGCCGCTGCCCGGGCAAAATTTCCCTCATAGCACACTGTATGGCGTATGCCCGTCTTCATTAGCCCAGTAAGGAGGAGAACAGTAGGACGTTAAACCCCATTTCATTTCATTTCATTTTCAAAAATCCTGTTTGTTTTTAGCTTGTTCTCTATCCATCTCTTGCAAAATGTGAGCATATCCTGCCTGGCAGCCGCTGGTTGTTTATGACAACCCCCATCAGTAGTGTGATGATATAAATAATTTAATCAGAATCACCCAGTTGAATAAATAATAACATAAACAAAATGTTAAAACAGGTGTACCATGGATAGTCATTTTCACTGACAGGGGTATCAATCTCTCACTTTAAAGGAGCTAAATCGCTAACATTAGTGACCTAGAAATTGACAAGAGTAGGTCGCAACACATATAATACAGTAGTATGAATGTATATAAACTGATTTACATTCAATGGTTTCCGTTTTTACTCCAATTTCAAATCAGTTATGTTCGGCGAAATAAGCCAGCAGTCTCAAGCGAGTGCAAATTTCTAGCGTCTGGTTATTCCAGTCTACATACCCCGTTTGATTTGGTGCAATGTGTCTAGCCTCGTCCCTCGAGTCTCTTGATACAACTGGGACTGAAGCGCATTATGGTACACGATTCGTGTACCAATGGTAAAATGTTTATTTTGTCTTAAATATTGGATATCAAAAACCCATCTTTTTCCGGTAAGATCACAACATGAATGTTGATTTAATTTGACAAATAAATCGTGTTTTGAATGTTGAAGATTTTGGATGATATTGAGTTAGAGACTTAGCTACTTTAATTCTTTAATTCTTTCTTCTCTCTAATAACATGATAACTTTGCTTCTAATTGAGTAATGGAACTTGATGTGTAGTTTAACAACCCCAAAACCTTGACTTAATTTCGATCATAAGCCAGTTCTGCTTAGGCCAAGTTGGTTGATGCTTTGCAAAAAGATAAAGGTATTATTGATATCTGACTTGCATTTATTTTGGGATTTAGGCAAGGTATCAGCTTTGTTCAAATTAGATTACAATTTCTGGTCATTTTAATCAGATTGAATAGCCTGAGGTATTGGTTATCCTTTCTATTAAATAACAATACTATTTACTACTTACATTATTTGATTTGTCTTTTCAGAGATTTACAAGATAGTTTCTCAGAAGCAAATCCGTGATAGCCCTGATGATGAACATTCACCAAGTACAAATGTACAAACAATAACAGTAGCACCTACGGAAAGTACACCAGGAGCAAAGAAACAGTGTTGTAATGTTTAGGACACTACTAGTTGAACATTTATTCATCTTGTTACTTATTGAGTCATTAAAAGACTGGGTGGGGGTTCAGTGGGCATGATCATCAAAAATCTATAATATGACATATTGTTTACAACTGGTTATACAACCGACTGGGCTCTAGTCATCACTTAGATCAATATATATATATACAGTATATATATCATCTATTTATATAGGGTATAATAGTAACTATAATAAAATGGTTACTGAATGGGTCAGTCGGGTCATGTGATGATACCATTCCATTTCTAGTTGTTATAGCTTCAGTCAATGTGCAACACTCGGATTAAATGTACACCTACTATTGAGGTTAATTGTCATGGCTATCAGAATGAACATGTTCACATCAGTTAATCAACTTTTTCATGTTGTTTCTATCTGCCAAATGTTGCCATTTGGCTTATTTTTGATGATCATGCTGTTAATATATTAAAAGTTGGCTATTCATATATAAAATATATATAATATAAATACTATGTGTATATTGTTGGTGTACAGAACCCAGTGTGGAGATCAGTACAAAATTGTACCTAGAATAATTTGCCACAAATGTGAGTGTATATGCCATTAAAGCTAAAATTTATTTTTATGTGTGTTGTTAAGACTGAGAGTTATGTAACACTTTGTAGATAATTTAAAATTGACTGTATTTCTAGGCTTATCTTATTTAATTACATCACTCACCTCTCTTCTTAATTTATTGGCCAATCTCATGTTTGCATAATTTTTTCAAAACTGGCTTGAAATATTTTAGATTTGGCTCATCAGTATATAATGAGAACATCATTATTTAAACTATTTAACATAAGAACTTGAATGAAAGAATAGAGTTTATATTACATGCATGGTTATGTTGATTAGTGTAATTTTTTTCTCTAAATGAAATCCTCTATGATGTCAGATGAAAAGAACGCTAATGATGGGAGGTTGAAGAAGCTACCGGATGGTGTTCACATACAGTTCTATTAAAATAATGATGCTTGTCCCTGGCCATAAAACCTTTTTACTCCTGACAATTAATTTCTTTCAACTTCACTATCTGCTAGTACTCAATGTCAAATATAGAATTTAATTTTTCATTTTGCAAGGCTGTAATTTTGTGATAAGTGGAGTTAAAAATTCGACTATGGGTGCATTTTTGGGTTCATGTTTCAACAATTAAAATATGTCAGTAAGCAGTGATTAAGTGATATAGTTGAAAGATAGTGGGTAACCTAGAAATGTTAATTAATATTATTTAAGTGTTATTATAAGTTGTGTTGATATGATGGAAGTACATTCAAGTTCTCATGTTACTTAGTTTATCAAACTGACACTGGACTGGTTATGTGGTAAAACATTCCTAGGCAAAATTGAGTTTAAAATAATAATACCCGGTATTCTTTATTTGCTTATTTATAGACTAATTAAGTTAATTTTGCCTAGGATGTTATTGGTGGTATATTTATACGCATGTTTTATAATGCTGAATTAAAATACATGTATGAGTATGAATGTTAGTATTCATGATTGATTAATTGATTTATGTTATTTGTAATTCCTTTTGTCAGGGGATCATGAAGAAGGATCTAAATTTGTCACAATGAATTGAAATAACAACCATTTACAATGTTGTAGCTTTCAGCAATAGATTTACTTCAAATATTTGATATAAAACCAGTACTAAAAGTGTCTACTCAATGTGGTTGTTACATTGTTATTGTTGCTCAGTGTACATTATCATCAAAATTTGTCTTATTTAAAAGATTTGTTAGATTTTTATCATTTTCGTATTGATGCTGACTTAAAAATTGTAAACAATTTGGACAGTGTTCTACATTCTTATTTCTCCCCCTCTTAATTGTTGAAGATTTTTTATTGATCACTAATTCTATCCTGAGTGTTAGTGTGAATTCTGTGGCATATATTTAACAGCGATGTATTATGTAAGATTTAGATAAAGAGCTGACCGTAACTTTATGGTTTAAAAATAGATAATGAATATACTTAAAATTTCAGTAAAATTGTCTTATTCTGACAGAAGTTATGAATGTTTGCAGTTTTGACCAGAAACAGTTTAAATTGTGTTGAGTATTGAGTACCATTGCTGCAACAATAAACAAGGTCTCAATTTTCTGTTTTAATGGTTAATGTAGATATGGAGGACCTTGTCTAATCCATTTAATATCTCAGCCATCCATTGGTCTAGACTCAAGAGAGTTGAATATGGACTTGTCATATGAATAAATGTCTAAATAATAATTTATATAACATTTGAATCAAGAAAAAAATCTGCAATAGGCAGATTTAGCTCTTACATAATACATCTTTAAGACTTCCATCATCTGAAAATCCTAATCATATCTAGAGAACTCTTTTCTTCTAATAAACACTATTTAGACTTGGATATTGTGTTCCTCCCTCACTACACTACTATACATTTTGTAAATCAAGCCTATATAATTAATGATATTATATACTGTATGTATCACCTTATAATAAATATGTATATTTAAGAATGTATGACCTGAGTTTTGTCATATAATTGTGAAGGTTGACACAACTGCAGTGTCAAATTATAAGAAGTAATGCTATAGCTGTTCATAGTCCAACAATCTATCAACTTGAAACTAAACCTTAGAGTACAATGTATGTTAGATATGCAAATTATTACAATAGAGTGGTAGAATGGCTGTAGTATCTGATCTGTAATTAGGTGACCAATTACATTGGTCAACTGAGATATCCACTATAACTATCCCATTATTTTTATATATTTTGTAGATATAAATTTTATTCTTAAATAAACTTTGCACTTAAAATGTTAATTTATCTTCATTCCCATATATAAGTGATTGTATATAAAATGTGTTAATCTACACTGTAATCGAAACCTATAAATCCTGAAGGAATGTGGGTGCATATTAATTTGATCTTTGACACAGTTACACAGCACTATCCTATGATAGAGCTGTGGATGTGCATTTCTTTTTGGAATTGTATGAAAAATGTTCTGTACTTTTAAGAATAAAGTCAAATGCAGATTCACATCAGATTTTCTTCCCTGATCATTATTTACAATCAAGATTTCTGTAATTGTTTTGTTTTGTTACAGTGTTTTCCCCTCGAAAAACAAATAAGTGAGAACTGTGCATTACGCGTGGAGTTGCATAGGTATATATATTGATAATGTATTTATGAGTAGATATATAAGTTATTTTAAAATCCATCCCATATAAATAGCATTCACAATAATATCTTAATATCTTTTCTTGGTTTCAAATGTTTGCAGTCAAATGTTTTACCTTTAAATTATTGTGTGCATATTTGTATAGAAACATGGCATTGACTGTGCTGTTCTTCATACATGTTATGCGGTCATGTGCAGCGATTTGTAGCTTTGTTCATCTCTAAACGTTTTGTTACTGTGGCCTTATGTTGAGGTCATTCAACCGTAAACTATATATTATTTCTATCTTGCTAATGTACAATTTTGTGTATTAATAAAGAGCAAATGAACACACAGAGAAGTCTTACTTTGTACCTGTTGGTAGTAGTTAATAATATAGAATTAGACTTTAAACCAGCTTGTCTTCAGATAAGTAGTGATTTCTTTTGTTAATGACTATCCAATAATGTACCAAGGTCCTAATTTCAACAGTGGGTCAAAGAGCATGTCTAAACTTGTGAAAGGTGATATAGATTAAAATGAGATGAATCTTTAAAATTATTAATGGACTGTTTATGCATCTTTGTGCATATAGTTTTAAAGATTCTCAGGCAGAAGGCACTGATCTACAGATGCATGCATGTCTTTGCAACCACCACCCTGCATGCATTTTCAGTATGGAACTACATATTAGTATAGTAGGCGTGCACTTAACACGATTATTTATCTATTGCTCAATCTTGATGTTGCAGCATCATCTAGATAGATAATAACATATTTTGATAGCTCAGTCCTTGAAAGCTTTCGTTAGCATTATGTGGACAAAATGGACGCCTCTCGTACGCAAATAGTACAAATATATGATATATCACGGTTGTGTACCCTCTAGAGGCCAAATTTTTGATCCGTTTTTGATAAACTTTAAATTTGTTTATATCACAAAGATCTTGGTTCCTTTCGATAATGGCGCATATCCGAACGTAACTTCTTGGATTGTGGCCACTGAATATTCGAAAAATCGCATTTTTAGCTTGTGGACCCACTGTATAAGAAGTCACAATTTGTTTAATTTTAAAAAACGTTCAAATATATCACGTTTGTTCGTTCCTAAGGTTTTACGTCCACTTCCACCTAAGGTGATATCGTAGACAAATAAAAATATGTCGCCGTTACACATCAATGAAGGTCGAGTTCGAATTTCGTAAAAATCTGACCCAAACTGCCGGACATAATGGCCGCTCTTGTACGCAAATAGTGTAAAAGTATGTAATACCATGGTTGTGGACACTCTAGAACAAGAAGTCACAATTTTTATCCGATTTTGATGAAACTTGAAATATATGTTCATAACCCAAAGATCTCGGTTCCTTTCGATATTCGCGCATATCGGACCATATCTTCCTGGATTATGGCCCCTGATTGTACGAATTAAAAATCACATGTATGATTATAATCCAAAGATCTTGGTTCCTTTTGATCCTTGCGCATACCGGACCATAGAAATTGTTCCACTACTGATGTCTTCCGCCTTACTCCAGCCACAGCAGTGGCTCGTCCTACGGAGTTCCTTTGCGGAAGTTTTTTAGTCAAATGACTACAAAAAAGTTACTGGCCTATAGTTCCCTTAATTTACACATCAACTGACCCAAAACTGTACTGCACATAGCTTAACATATAATAAACCAATTCCTATAGAAATAAAGGTGAAGCCTTACCGCATAATTTATGAAACTCAACTGCTACGCGAAATTTCTCGACTACCGGACTTATTTCAACTGGCCGGTGTCATGGCGGCTTTCACATTATAAGAAACATCGCTTTGAAAATGTAGAATGCATTACCACAAAGAAAAACTGTTCGGTAACTATTTTAGTGGTCCAGTCTTCACTATTTCTGATAAAATTACTTATTTCAATACAAACTGTAATGATATGTGTTGACAATTGTGCGTTTGAACCTAAGGAGTCTTGGGCTGTATCAATTGTAGCTTTAAACACAGTTTAACGATACATATTGAGGCTAACCGGACCGTAACTTCCTGGATTATGGCCCCTGATTGTACGAAAAATCCCATTTTTAGCTTGTCGAACCTCTAGAGATCGCAATTTGTATCCGATTTTAAAAACGTTTAATAAATGTATCACCGTTACACCCTAATGATGTTTGAGTTCGAATTTCGTGAATATCGGACCGAAACTGCTTGATAAAATGGGCGCTCCGTGTACGCAAATGCAAATAGTGTAAAAGTATGTAATACCAACCAAGGTTGTGGACCCTCTAGAAGTCACAATTTTTATCCGATTTTGATGAAACTTAAAATATATCTTGCCTGGCAACCACTGGTTTATTATCTTGCAATTGTATAATAATAATAAAATAAGAGCAAAATAGAGATTTAAAAAAAATATATATAAGTGAATTCAGACAATTTTAAAAATAGAATTAAGAATGCTAAATTTGCCAATTGCAGGTCTTTCTTAAGGCCCAATCTGTCGTAAGGCCTTAAATGTTATAGAAATTATTAGACATTTATTAACATGACAAGACCATAATCAAATCTCGATGCCAAAGGATGCTCGAGATTTTAACTAGATTAGAACAGTTTAAAAATGGAGCAGCGAGTCTAAGTCTCCAATATACCAGTGTGGTCACCATAATAAACAACAGGGATAACTTGGCTCAGAATAAAGTAATTTAAATGAAATTTTTAAAAATTCATTTTTTACATTATCTATTTTTGAACTATTATAGCAAGAACGGTCAATTCTTTATCTTATCTTACGTAATATATCCTTAATAAATTAACTGAAATTTGAATTCAATTTAAGAATTCAAATAAACAATGCAAAGAGACATTCGAAGCCATATATATACCCTGTCAGTTCTAAGTATATAAATTTACCAGTCAATGAAAGCTTTTAACAACCTTAATTCACAGCTATAGCGTCCCAAATATATAATAGAAATCGTTAGTGGCGACAGTATACATAAAAGTCAACTTATTGAATGAGTACTAGCCTTGTCTTTTGTATACTACAGGTATTATTAAAATTCTTCTCGGGTTATATACGTCCAGTATAACCAGATGTTTTATTAATTTTACATGTAAAATATTCATGGGTTGTTGCTGTAAGTATCTATATAATTACGTGATAATGGATATTAGTACACATATTAATTGAAGAAACGACTAGGTTAGGGCTCCTGTATTTCTGTGATAGGGTTATTGTAGTACTATCGGACTTCTTTTCTTGTTGTGTTTGTTTCTTCGTGATCGTAATAACACTACAGAATAAATGGTTCATACAACTTTATTGCTAAGCTGTAATGGCTTTGAAGGGTCCTCGTTCTCAATAATAATGGCTGCTTGGAATATCTGGATGAGCTCTGATCAATCTCGCTCTACACCCTGTTTTATACCCCCTAATTTCTGCACGTTTTAGATAGCCCTGACGTTAACTTCCATCCCAAATATGGAATAAACCTCTTTATTTCACAAAACTAAAGGAGGAAACATTACCTTATTTTGTCTAACAACCATAGGTCAATTAACAGATAGAATTTGATGGATATTTTGACAATGGTTATGATTTTACAAAAATATCACTGGTTTTTTTTATGTATAAACTATATATTCACGTCCATTAAGTACGTGTGATTTGACTCTATAGACAGTGTGAAGCAACAATTTTTCAAAGAACCAAAATTGTCTTAAGGACCAAAGTGTTAAATTATTAGGAGAGATAATACATAATGTTATTTCTCAGATGAAGATGGGGTCGGACTATTCGTTTTTCCTCTTGGCGGTGTTTATGTAAATTTTAAAAAAAAAACCTTCTATAATAAGAACTTTATTCGGTTTATTCTGGCACTGCATAAAATTTCGTAATTTATGCCTTCTGTGGAAGTACAAAGACAGAGAAATTGTTTATATTATTTTTTAGGTAGTAATGTAGGTCCAAGTGGCCACCTGGTGTTTAGTACAACACATCACCCAGGGATTAATTTATCAGATGATAGAAGAACTGTCGAATGGAAAAGTGCTGCCGATGTCACGGGTTCCTGTTTTTCTTGTCGTCAAATTCAACCCTATGAGGATGTTATAATTCAATTTTGTGGAACCGGTTATGTCGATGTTGGCGTGACAGAGACGAACCCATCCTCTAAAGAAACGCCGATATTCTGTTATTTGTGCGGCCGGGTTTTATATTTTGACCCTTGTGTTGTCAAATTCCATATAACAAACACTGGAACTATAGTACTATATGAAAACAACATTGAAAAGAATGAGAAAATTGTATTAAAATCAAGAGAGCATTGGTTAATGATAAAGCTAGGCTGTGGTGACATAAAAGTTACTATTAAAGACCCGAAGAAACATGTAGATAACTAGAAATAAGTCGACCTCGTCTGATGATATTTTAATGAATACATATTGATTCAAACTAGGGTTCACGTGTAAATATTTAATAAATAAATCAAAATTATCTAATTCAGGAATTAAATATTTTCAAATAATGCAATTTTATTTAATCTAATGGGCATCAGGAGACGAATATTTTCCATTTACAAATTTCTACTTGTAAACCAGCTGCAGTTAGTGTATTCATTTGGAATCAATTGTTACTGTAAATATCACGGAGGGACGATTTACCCAATACTACCCAATTTCACCACATACTACCCAATACTACAACATAATGGTGCCAAATGAGCATATTACTTGATTTTTTTTCAAAAATAGTGAGATATATCGTCGGAAATGTACTTCAAATATGGCTGTTCCATTTGCCTCCCTATATCACCCAAATCAAGCAAATAATAACCCAATACGACCAAATACTTATCAAATACTACTAAATACTACCAAATATCATGGGTAGTATGTGGTGATATTGAGGTGGTATTAGGTTGGTATTGGGTACGGAATTGGGTAGTATTGGGTAAATCGTCCCACCCTAAATATCAGGTCCCGGACAAGTAATTCTCCCGCACCGACTTCAATGTTAAATCCCAATCTGTTTCACAGAGGATTACGAAAGTGTTGTTAAATCCATGACATTTCTTGACCTATAACAATTTTTTGAAAATTTTTATAACGTCAATGAGCCCAATGTCGCAAGGGAAAATTGCTGTAAATTATAGAGGAACCATCATGAAATGGAGGGGAGAGAGAGAGGGGTGTGTGGTTTAGCACAACTATAAAACTATAGTCAATATAGCACCCTAACAGTTTCTTGTACTTTAACTTGCTCCACACATTTAAATATCTCAAAATTAAGGCATGCACCAAATGCAACATATTGTGTAGTATATACAGCTGTAGTTATTTATATCCACCTGTGGTCACAATCAGTCGGGAATCATTTCGCAATTCAATGTCGCGTGTTTTGCATTCATTTTATTTCTCACTATTAAAGTAAGCAATGCTTTCATAAACTGACTATTTTACGAATATGGAAATTTAAAATGTAACTCTGCTCCCAATGTTTAATGATATCAAATAAATGTATATTCTTAGTTCTGGCATTATCTTCTAATCATACAGCAAAAAGTTGATATAAATATGATATATCAGGTGGCCCAGAAAAAGCAATTTTATATATATAAAGTCGAATAATTAAAAAGTATCGTATCTATATCATTATTATTTCAAACATAGTACATACAATATGGATATTTGACAACTACACTCTAAATTGCAGGTCCACAGCTTAAATAGTCTTTTAGGCTGCTATTACATAGGGGTATACGGTATTCGTTTAGAGGTATACGCGAATACTTGTGTTCGAACAACAGGAATTTGCTTAGCGGTTTACATCGGACTATACGCGTATAGGGGCACCATATATACGCGTATACATGGTATCGTGCATGTTCGTTTTTTTTTGCGACGCATACTTGCTTCAGGGAGGAGTAAATTCCATGGGATGAGTACAAAATGGGGCATGTGTTGTAAAAAGTTCGAATCAAACGTTGTGAACATTGATGGACATATCTCTAGGCATGGTAGACTATTCTAGATTATCATGAACAGTGATTTCCAGTTATTCCCCCCCCCCCCCCTCTCAGTATTGAAATGAGCCGACACAAAGCCTGACCTTCATGCCACCAGTTACGGATTAAGCTCCACCAAGGCCTGAGGCGGCAGTTGCTGGAGGGCCTATTTAGTTGCTAACATTAAAAACGGGATTCGTTACTGAGGTTATAATATTATTAAAATATTAGTTATAACTATTGAAATTTGTCGTACAAAATGCTTTGACAGCAGAAACGTCACCGGAAACCAACTGTACATACACCTATTTTCAAGGATAATATTTCCTCATGATAGGGTGTTTACATCGAAACTAGCGCAAGATCTTTTGCTAGATATTTTTTCTTAAGCCAAATTCGTTTGATATTGGATGTAACTTTATATGCCCATAAATGACGTCACGTGGATACAATATATTAAGCAAGACATAACCGAAAACTTACAAGGATTTAACGTACATTGTAGGCCTACGTTTAAAAAATAAGATCAGATCTCCAAACAATAGGGCCTATTTAAAATGGCGTGGGCCTAATTAATTTCGGATGAGGGCCTATGTTGATTCCCGTTGGGCCGAAAAACCCCACCCCCTAACATTCATTGTCTATGTGTTTTTAATCGTATCAGACAAGTCTAAAAAATTTTTTTTTACAAAATCTTTGGGCCTGAGGCTGCAGCCTCACTGATAATCCGCTACTGCATTCCACCATACTTTACGCCTCCGCACGTAAAAACCAAGTCAGAGTTTCCTCTTTTTCTGAATCCATTCTGTTTAGATATGAATGAGCCGGTACCAAAATCGGTTGGGAAAATAACTGACTAGCCCAGTATACCTACGTATAGTATATGCCTTGTAACCCGCCATGCCCGTATACCCCTATGTAATAGCAGCTTTTGAGTTTTAATGAAAAAAAAAAGAGTGTCAAATCATATTTTGGGGACATCATACACAAATCAGATTAAATAAACAAATGGTCAATATGTTGTCTTGCATTAAGTGTCTTTTCAACCCAGCATCAAATTTCTAATATCTTCTAAGCTTATTTCTTCCCATTTTGCCATAATTGTATCCGTCAGTTCATTTTCAGTAAATGCTTAATTGTGCTTCCTTTTAAGAGACTGTTGCAGATAGTGTAATACATCGGATGCAAATCCTGGGAGTGCGTCTGCCACTGATCCTTTTTTTATAAAATCTGAGGTAGACGGCTTATATGGAGATTACATTCAGTCAGGCATAACATTTTCAAGTAAATATTTCACAGTTCATAATTTCATTTTTTAAAATAAAGTCTGGAGTGATCTCCTGGAAACAGTTATTACCAGTAGTCGGTCTGCTTGTCTGACTTGCTGCCCCATCTTGCTAGAAAACATATTAGTTGTTCAGATAAAGTCTATATATCAATTAGATAAAAAAAAAACATGATTGAATTATTCCACTTTAATAGTGTACTCGTTATTTCTGGGCCACCCGATACAATTCATTGAAGCACAAACATAACAAAAACACCACTTTAATTTACGGTTAAAATTTTATTGATCGTTTAAATATTCTAAATATATATACAATTAAGACTTTATTATATAGTTCATATTAATTAATTTAGATAACAATAATATATCACATTTGGCTTCAAAAATAAAATAATCAATATGACAAGACAAGACAAGACTGATTCACAAACAGTAAGACAAAGAATCAGTTGTGACTATATCAAATCAGGGGTGGGAATCAAAATAGAAATCTGAACAAGAACTCTGAAAGAGTACTGACATGTTTCAGTACATCAGATCACACATTGTCACGTCAATAATCAAGTTAAACCATGAACTATTGAGAGTATAGTAACATCCAATACCTATTAAAGTGGAAACACCTGTTATTTTTAACTCTTAATAACACCGGAAGTTATTAGTAGACGTCAGGGTCATCAGATATGCAATGGTGACGGGTCATTGAACTGTTAGGTCACCAGATAATAGGTTAAACCGGAAGTAAAGAAAATCAAAATTCAAAAATCGGCTCACTAAGAATTGTTGCCATTTGGAGTAGGTACGAAAACAAAAAAAGTTTTCGAAAATCGGAATCAGAACAGCGGCTAAATATCGATTTGAAGGTTTTTTGGAAAATCCAAAATGGTGACCAAACGGTTGAAAATGTTATGGAACAAAGTCTCTGAAAATGAAAGGTAATATCTGGGGTTAACACCTCAATATCTCATTTTTAGACTATTTTTAAAATGGAGATAACTATTCATATTCGGGAAAAATCGGAAGTCCTCTGTAATTTCCAGAAGTTTCTGGAAACCGTCACAAAAAAATTTAATATGCTATTTTGAAGGTATCAATGTGTTCTTTATTCCTACACAGTTTCAACTTGGTACCTTAAATAGTGACAGAGATACGCCATCTTGAATATCGAAAAAATGCTGAAGAAAACTTTCGCAAATATTTGGTTATAAAGTATTCAAGCAAACTTCAGAAATTCAAAAAAGTTTCAGAAAGAGCCCCTATGGGATTCGTCCAAAGATTCCAAAAATGAAAAAGCGACCAAGATCCGATGAGAAATAACCGATGTGGCTATTTTTTTTGTCCTATCCATAAAACTATTCCAGTTTGTCAAAATTTACCCAATTTATATATAATAAATAGTTCCACGGAGGTCAACAATATCTATGTTGGCAGAATGTTTGCACCATGTACAGTTTTGGCTGCAAACTTTGACTAAATCCTGCCCCCCACCCCCAAAAATAATAAATAAAACCATTACAGAAACAATACATGTTTTCGCTGAAGGTTCGAAACACTTAAAAAGAAAATAATACAAGTTATCAGATCACAAATAAATAAGATCTGGATTTCTTAGCAGGTTAATATTATATAAACAAGTAAATATAATATTCATATCTAATGACAGGATAATGTTATGTAAGGTCGGAATTGAAGCCCCTTTTGACTTGATAAACTGTCACACTTAATTACAGTACACCAATGGAACATTATTATAAACGACGCACAACGAATAAATAAATATTAATGGTTAGAATGTCAAATTTTAAAAAAATAAGTTCTACTTAGTCACATATACACACAAATAAAATTATAATGTAAAAGAAATTAATCACTAGCAGAATGTAACAAAAATGGCTACATGACAGAGTGACAAATGACAAACTTGCATATATCTTATACAATAAGAATAGTGAATATTAATACACTATCATGTCGATATTTAAAACATTCGTAAATATGGACGGAATTATATTAATCTCAATGATTCACTGGATTTCAAGATCTTTAATTAAATATACAGTAACTATATATACACAATTGGCACAACAGATTCAAATTTCTTTCAAGATGGTAGCATTTTTACTATGTAAAAATGTGTATATACTTCTGTAATTTCAATAAATAATTTCAGGAATATTACTAGTTTTGAAAACGGAATAAAAAACACTCCTGTACAAACAGAGATAAGCAATATCTAGGAAAATCTTCCAACTGATCCTTTTCATTTCAAAACGCTTCTATTATTTGAATGATATTCAACTTGTATATAACGGTCACCCAAGGGAATTAAAGAAATTGACCGTTATGTGTAGTTATATTTTTGTAGACCATACATCTGATTGTATATTTTGCTTACCACATAATAATTTGCTAAAATATTGAAATAAAAACAGGAATTTAATAACATACATGATGACTCCATCTTTATATCACAGTTAGATTATAGTACAATACTAGCTATATAATACTGACCAATTTATTGTAAACACACTCATAGTTTACACTATTATTAACATAGAGTATGTCAGCTAGGAATACATTTAAGTTAACACTTTACTGTTAATACTAATAGTATAAAACATACTATATTTATATGAACATGGTTAAGAATAAAACTTATGATAAAACAACAACAAAAATTCACACACATCATCAAAGTTTTATATTACACTAACTGGTGTAGGGGGATATTTAGGAAGCATTAGGGGTGACCCACACTTAAGCTTCTAAAAGATACATTTTAGAACTGACTTATGGTTAAAATAATTTATTAATTTAATGATTTTATGATATATGTTAGATTTGACTTTAAATTTGGGTTTTATTTTGGTAACATTTATTTGGGAGGACCCTTTAAAGGTCTGAAAATGGTTTAAAATAAACCATATGCTATATATGTGTGGGCTATGAGTTGACAAATAAAATAAAATAAAAACGACCTACTCCACCAAAAATATCAGAAAAAAAATAATATGAGATTGGATGAAACTAGAATATAATGCATAAGATATTACTGTATGTAAAAAAAAAATTCAATAGAATAATTTAATTAAAAACATTAGATAAATTTGTTAAAAAAAATGAAATAATGTAAGTTATGATGTATGTATCACAAGTTAAGTACTAACATGGACAGGAAAAGTTTATTATATTTATCTATATCATATCTTTGGCACATCTATACAATACTTTTAACTATCAATTATATTTAAAGCTAATTTAAATTAATGATTGTGCATTCCAATTCAAATAAACACAAACATGTTTTATGTTCAAGCAGTTTTCAAATCCATTGTACCATGGCAAGGCAATATCATTTGTTAAATATTGTTTTTTGGCGCAAATAAAAAAAATAAATATATAGAGCATTTCAGCATTATTTAGTAATAGTGTACTTTATGTCGAGAAACAATTTTTAATATAAGCATGGATATGTAGTAAATAACATGCAATCTATGATTTACATTCTTGTATGGCATACCTTTGACATGGAATAGATGTATCTGTATTTAACACTCTTTTACTGGTAGAACTAAAAATTTAAACCAAACAAATTGTAAACCTATGTGAAAGGTATAGGAATGAAATAGAAAACCATAGGTAAATCATACAGTTAGCTCACACACCTATAAGTTTAAATAAATAGTTTATCTTATACAACACAATATTATATGATAAATGATCTATAACTCTGTATCCCCTCCAAGTTCTGGTACAGATTGCAGTAATGGGTTACTATTTTTTTCTCTATCTAAATAACGATATGTGTCCGAATCACGTAATCCACCACTATAGGGCTTAAAAGTGTTCTGAGATTCTGTGCTTGAACGTAACATAGATAAATCCAGTGGTGGAATTTCTTTGGGCCTCTTTCGCATCTGTATTGGGGTAAGAGGCAGATTCTGGAATCCATTTGAATAATCTAGAGATCCATCGCGGTTAAATTTAGCGGTTTCGTTAACTGTAAACATAGTTGTAGAGTTTAGATCGTTATTACTTTCCTCATCACTGAAGAGTTGAGGAGTGGGTTTTCTCTTCTTTTTCTTCGTCTTTTTAATATGGTTATTATTATTTGTAGAGGTAGGGGAGTGTATACTGGCTGGTGAAGAATAATTGGAATGACCGCCTGTCATGTAAGCGCCACTATCATGTGATTGTCTATCAACAGATTTATTGTGGTTGACTTCATTCATTGATTCCTCGGAATCCAAATCATCCTCCACAAGAAGTTGTTGTTTTGGTATAGGTAATTTCCGTTGATGTGTTGAATTAGATTTAGGTAATGGTCTTTCATTATATATAGGTGTTTTATACATACTTTGATTATCTGAAAATTGAAAATATAAATTTTACGAAACAATAAATAATTCTTTAAAGATACATTATGGGAGATTCGATAACGAGTTGGCAGTTCTCACTATAATAATTAAAAACTAGATAACGTAAAGGCAATTTGCTGAAAATTTCATTCAATTTGATCCACTATGAACCGAGAACTAAGCGAACGCTATTTCTGCCTAGCCTCGGTCATCATTACTAAAGTCAGTACGATAAACAGCATAGTCTCGATTATCCATTTAACCGTTTAATCGAGAATGAAAGTTATGCAGTAAATCGGCTCACAATCCACTTAAGATCGCAGGCTAGCGATGCCATCTTAGAGTTGATTATGGTCTGGATAAGTTAATTAATGTCTAATTAATAATATAGATAACATTTCAGGCCTAAAGAAAGACCAAGGTATAAACATCTTTGGTATAACCAAACTGCACGACAAAATTAATAATTTTTTTATAGCACTGAACATTCTCAGCTTTTTTTGTTTAGCATCAATCAAATGTCAGAGTACCGGTATACAAGGACACCAGGTGACAGTTACAGACCAATCTAACTCCAAACAAAAACATTAATTTTTAAAAGTGAAATTTGTCATACTATTAACTATCAGTAACACAGAAGAAAACCTATTAATGAAACCGGATGCACATTATAACTTTAATTCATTACACAAAATCTGAATAGCCAAGACAAGAGTAAGTACTAGCAAGTATTTCCCTTTAATTGTTCAAGAGAAATATCGGACTGCACTAACCGATTGTCGCGATTTCTTGTCTTTCTTTTTCTGTTGATAAAGATTTTCTTTTTCTTCTTTTTAATTTTTTTATTTTGGTTTCACTATCAGTATTTCTAGACTGTAATAAAAACAAACATCAATGAATAAATGCAGACAATTTAAGATAGGTTGCCAGGCAACAAAACATATGCCCACAGTAGCTAAATTGCTCGAGCAGTCCACATAGGTTATTGCATTATTAATTTCAAGTCAATGGGACAATGACTTTTGCCTCTAGAGCATCCACAAGATTTTTCTATGTGATCTGACAATACCCAGACAACAGTTAACATAAAATGTTGAAAATCAACTGACTTCTCTGTCTCATGAACTTAAACACTGTGTATAAATTTCAAGTCAATGGGATGATAACTATAGCCTCCATAAGATTTTTCAAAGTGATAAATGGCCAGTAATTATCAGAATTTGTTGATTATCTTTAGCTCATGAACATAAACACTGTATATAAAGTTAACTGGGCAATAAATTTATCCTTGTGAGAATCCACAAGATGTTAAGAAAGGGCTTTGCCATCAACTACGAGACTTTGAACTGTCTATGTTGTTCTGTGTTTTTCTATGGCAGTTAGTGCTGCTATGTCTACATGATTCATCAAACGTTAAATTGAAATTGGTTGTGGCTGACTTTGTAATTTATTTTATATAATTTACGACCATGTTAGACATAAGAAAAACATTAAACATGAAAATATAATTTACCCCATCTACTTCAGTTTGACGTATTGGACTAGAGGAAGGAGGGGGTGTTTCTCCATCCTCTAACTTTTCTTTTTCTTCTAGTGCCTTTCTATACTCTTGAAGCTCTCTTCTTTCTCTAAAAATACCAAGACAACATGAATAACCATATTGTGCATAGGACCAGAGTCATTAAGTCAACCGGGTGGTTTTGATTCCTCGGTTGTATATGACAAGGAGGAGTAGGGTCACCTGTCCAACCTCATGGGTTTTCTCCAGGTACTCCGATTTCCTCAGCGAATTCTTGAAATAAAATTGAACCAAGTGGACGTTAATCTCTCTCTGTCTCTTTTTTTTAGTGACAAGTAGGAACGCACAAGGAACCCTCTCGGTCAATACTGGTAGCAAACTTCCTGGTTAGCGAGGCAGTGCATTACGCACTGAGCCTCTGTGGGTCTTTTGAAAAATAAAAGTAAGATTAGATTTTCAAATGCGCCAAAACCCATTTTGGCCAACCAAAGCTAGAAAAGGCTCCAGTGTTCTAAACGACATCTATATCTTCAAAGTATGAGACAATCGTTTTACTTATACTTTAAAACATCAGGACATGTTAACTGTAGCTTTACTGGTATTCAAAGAAGATGTGATGTAGACAAAAGATATGTCATATAAATTTGATGGCAAACAATAACTTACTCAACTGACTTCATGACTTCACAAAATTGAGAAAAAATTTAAATGGCCAACACTGGGATCGAACTCTGTGGCGTCCTTGCTAAAAAGCGAAATGCATGCTTACTGAGCTAGTAGAGTAACTGGGCCAGTCATATAAATTTGATCGCAAACAATTTCAGAATATGCACCAAATCACTCAATTTATTGTTTGTCATTGGCACTTTACCTGATTTCAAAGTTATTGTGTGTTCCAAAGTCTCGGGCAATCAAACTTCTTATCGCTGTGCTTACCCCGAGCCAAAAATGCTCATTATCGAACTTAGTCAAGGTATTGATGTAATGAAAATATACATAAAGTGTCCTCACTCTCTCTTAATCAGAACTAAAGTTATGGTGTCCCAAACCATCAACCAATCAAATTGCTTATTTGACACAAGGACACAACAGGACACAAGAACATAGGGACCGCCGACTTACGACAGGGATCACTGTCATTTTTAAGTATTTTTGTTCTCCTTTCCAGCAAGAATGTATGGGGCATAAAAATTGTTCGCCACCGCAAAAAATAGGGGTGGGGGCGTGCGCCGGGTGGGCCCCCCCCAACTGGATCCGCGTCTGCTAATTAAGATACCTTCAATATGTAAACAGTTTTATGTTATTTAAATGTAACATTATCAAATAGGGTTTAAATCATGCATATAAATTTCACAAAGATCGGGTGATAACTTTTTGCGCTAGAGCGTTCACAAGGATCAATAAAGTGAAACAAGGGCCATAACTCTAGACGTGATAAATGGAAATTGCTGAAATTCAATAGGCTTCTCCGTTTCAATAATCTAAATAATGCATATAAATTTCACAAAGATCGGATGATAACTTTTGGAGTTGGAGCGTTCACAAGGTTCAATAAAGTGAAACAAGGGCCATAACTATAGACGTAATAAACAGAAATTGTTGAAATTCAATAGGCTTCTTCGTTTCACTAACTAAATATTGCATATAATTTTCACAAAGATCATATGTTAACTTTTGGGATTAGAGCGTTCACAAGGTTCAACAAAGTGAAACAAGGGCCATAACTCTAGACGTAATAAACGGAAATTATTGAAATTAAATAGGCTTCTTCATCTCACTAATGTAAACAATATATATCAATTTTAACACAATTGGATGATAACTTTTGGCGTTAAAACGTTCACAAGAAATTGTGGACGATGGACGGACCGACAGACGGACGGACGGGGGCGACGGCAATATACGTCCACATTTCAATGTGGGCGTATAAAAATGGCTGACTGACTTGTGTTATTTTGATGAATCAAGAAGTAAGCTTCACAACCGAAAATAAATTAAGAGTTATCTTACTTAGAGATGTTTCGAAACACACGGATATCAGTCAAGACATTTCGTAATAAAATATTCCGGAACAAAATATCTAGTATATGAGTAATATGACATTACTATTGTCGTTATCGGATGACAAATTAAAAGAAAATAGCAAGCAATTTTATTTACTAGTTGAACATGCATTATCCAAGAGCTAAATCTGCCTTTTGCAGGTATTTCTTTGGGCCTTAAATGTTATATAAACTATTGAGGGGCAGGGGTGGCTCCAATATATAACACTAGCTGCAGCATGCTGCCAAGAGATCCGCTGACAGTTAAAATTAGAAATAGTACTTCAAATTGAAACTGCCAAGGATTCATTTTGTTGCACGGCAATGTGTAGGCCTACATGGACGAGGCCCTCCATTCTGCACCAGGGACATGAGGAAACTACGACGAACTGTCTCGGGCAATCCCAAATACACACTAATATGTTTATATAAGTGATAATTCTCGACAATTTTCCTTTACGAAAATAAAATAAAAACCCTCTTTGGCACATGGTATGTGCCGTAATACACAATATTTTGAACACGTGATCCAGTAAAACATGTAAATTTGAGTCATGCGCACACCACCTGCTTACCAGATTATAGTCGCGCTTACCAATTTCGGATAAGTGGTTTTAAATATCCCTTTAAACAATTTAGATCACTTATTTTATGTGTAGAACCTTATTTACAAACTGATTTTGATAAGACTTGCAGAATAAGCACCAAATGACTCAATTATCGTTTATCATTGACATTTTACCCGATTTCAAAGTCTTACACTTTTTTTAAAAACAACTTCAATTTTATGACATCACTTTAAAAAAAAATCTAGGTCAAATATCAAAATTCCAATATGATCAATTGATTGCGAATTGTGAATGCTTTCTAAAAAATATGACGATATTGAAAATTGGATAGGAATTGTAGGATGAGTAGGATTTTGAAGATTGATTTACATTTTCAAAATGGTGGCACTTCCGGTGAATTTTAACTTTATGAAATTACTCCTACTGACAAATATTTTTTAAATAAGGCAAAATTAAAGAAGTTGAAAAGCTGACTACATCTTCAAAGGAGAGATAAATCAGAAAAAATTTGTTGGCATGTTTGGCTTAATCCACCCATTTGCAATGTATTCTGAAAGTTTCAAGTCGAAATCTTCAAAAATTAAAAAGTTACGCTCAGAATTTTCACACTTTTCACATTTGAGCGTAAAATAAGGCCATACACATGCGCCGTAGAGGCCACATTGTTTGTGAATAAAAGTTGAGAAATCTAAACAGCTACAAATTAGTGAAATCCCAATTTAAATTGGTTGAAAAAGAAAAAAAGTTTCCTTTGATGTCTCATATTTGTCTATTTTTTTTGATGACGTTACTTCCTGACATTTCTAAAGTTTAATTTATTCATTCACCTGTGAACCAAATATCTTTCGGATAGTATAGAGTTTAATTCTGTAGAATCTGTACTTTTTCCCAAAATGCAAGGTAAAAAAAAAAAAAATCCGAACAAAAACAATAGTTTTTAAACTAGATAGTAGTATAAAAACTAATAATGAACAAATGGAAGAAGTTGATTGGAAGTTCTAAATGTAACTTACTGTTTGGATGGTTTAATACCTTCAGACAACATTGTAGCACCTGTAGCTTTAGATTTGGAAGGTGTTACTCTATTCCCCTAATAATATAAATCAGAAAATGATACAGAACAGAATTACATATATGACCTAAGTTGGGTATACTGTAGTGTGGAAAAACAGAATTTGAAAAATCAGAGGCTGGTTTGTCTACTTTCTGTGAAATCCATTGGTTATTTGTCAAATAATCTCTTATTTTTAATTTAAGTTATGAAGTATTACGCCTGGCAAGTAGGAAACCAGTTTAAAATCCTGAAGGATATGATTAGCCCAAACCTGGATTTGAAACAAGGCCATTCCAGTTGTGATGTGATACAACAGAAGTTACCAGTCTAGAGTAAATTTACTGTATTATTGTGGAAGTTTAATGGTTAATCAAGAAAGAGAGGTGTATATCAGCTTCATGTTTAAATTAAGCTTATATACCTGCTTAAATGTCCATCATTATTCAAAGTCATTCCAGTACATGTAATTAAAAGAAATATTTGGATTGTTTACCTTGTTTCTAGGTGAAACATACTTTGGTTCATCCATGTTCCTCAAACCTTCTCTATCTCTCATACGTACAATATAATCATAGGTACTCATACCCTTACATACTGTAACAGACATAAACATACTTTATTCAAATATAAAACTGGTTAAAAATTTTACACACAGTTCATTTTGTACTTGTTTATTTCATTTGTTAAACCAACATATAGTTAATGATTTTGGTGAAGGGTTGCATGCAATATCAAAATTATTAGACTCTGTCATTGTAGATAGATGGATGTACTTAAGGTAGTTTTCCTTTAATTTAACATATCACATAACTGATAATCTTCTTACACATTTTTTTTTTTTTGCCATTACCCTTAAATATCCAGTGTATATTAGGTTGATTACCTAATGTCACCCAAAGATACATTATGTAAGATTTAGATGAAGAGCTGGCCATTTGTGTTATAATAGCCCAAAAATAGATAATGCAAAATGGAAATTGGAAGTGGGTGGGCGACTAGTAGGTGTCTCTCGTTTAGGGAACAAGGTGAGATTGTCCATTGAATTAACTGGATGGGTAGGTCGTCATCCTTGGGTTATGTGTATTTGTTGAATGAGTGGCTTCTTTTCACCAAGATGGGCTCTGAACCGATTTGATTCTATGGTATCTCTAGTGGTTGAGAGAGAGTAAAGATTTTTTAGCTGAGAGGATACCTTCCATCAAAGTAACCCCACTGGGGTTTTGGAATAGTATAAATAAAAAGCCAGTCATGTGAGTCCAATCAGTCTGAAGAGTTCAATACGAACAAAACTAGTCACTGACACCCAGGATAACAAGGTCTTCAAAGCCACTCTTATCTTAATTAAAGATACATTATGGGAGATTAGATAAAGAGCTGGAAATTCTGACTATAATAGTTAAAGATAGGTTGCCAGGCAACGATACATGCGCCCACAGCAGCTAAATCGTCTGAGCGGTCGACAAGGATTGTCGCACATTCTTTTGTAAATACTTGGGGGCATTTATTTACAAGACAATTTCATACAGATCAGATTATAATTATCTTTGTTTGGGGGTTCACAAGGTTCTACAAACTGAGACGAGGGCCTTAACTCTGGAAGTAATTTACAGAAATTGTTGAAATTTGACAATTGTTTTCATTTGACTAATTCAAATAATGCATATAAATATCATACAGATTGGATTATAACTTTTGTCATTTGAATGTTCACAAGTTCAACAAGCCAATAGTGACGCTGATATCCCCCGCCGAAATCCCAAAATAAATAGATGACACATTTATTTTTTTCAAATGTATCAAGCAATCAAACTGATTATCAACTACACACTAAGTTTCATCGCTCACTATCAGATAGAATCAAAGTCATCTTGTACTAAAGCATTGATCAATGAAATTGCTTAGCTCTGCTTAGCTTTAGCTTGAAATGTTAATCATTGAACTCAGTCAAGACATTCACCTAATGAACATCTACATCAAGTTTAAACATTCTACCTCAATTAAAAGCCGAGTTCTTATGCTCCAAAGTCTTGACCAATCAAATTGCTTATCACTCCTTAGCCTAAGCAGAAAATTCTCATCATCGAACTTAGTCAAGGTTATGATATAATGAATCTATACTCAGAGTTTTATCACTCTCACTTAATTATAACCAAAGTTATCGTGCCCCAAAGCATCAACCAATCAGATTGCTTATCTCTGCTTACCGTAAGCAGACAATGTTTATCATCAAACTAGATTAAGGCATTCACCAAATGAACGCCCACACCAAGTTTGAACATTCTACCTCAATTAGAAGGAAAGTTACTGTGTTCCAAAGTCACGGCAAATCAAATTGCTTATTGCTCTCCTTACCCTGAGTAGAAAGTGCTCATTCTCGAACTTAGTCAAGGTATTGATGTGATAAAACTATACACTGTCCTCATTCTCACTAAATTAGAACTAAGTTATCGTGTCCCAAAACATCAACCAATCAAATTGCTTATCTCTGCTTACCCTAAGCAGAAAATTCTCATCTTCGAACTCCATCAAGGCATTCACCTAATAAACACCTACACCAAGTGTGAACATTCATAGCTCAATTAGAATGAGAGTTATTGTGTTCCAAAGTCTCGACCAATCAAATTGCTGATCATGTTAGCCAAAGTAATGATCAATCTGAACGACAGATCCACCCTAGCTACCATTTAATTTTCGTATGTTAGTTACGTAGGATAATGATATAATGAATCTATACTCGGAGTTTTATCACTCTCACTTAATTATAACCAAAGTTATCGGGTCCCAAAGCATATTCTAGCTCAATTAGAATAAGAGTTATTGTGTTCCAAAGTCTCGACCAATCAAATTGCTTATCGTTCTGCATCCCCGGAGCAGGAATTGTTCATAATCGAACTTAGTCAAGGTATTCATGTAATAAAACTATACATCAAATTTCATCACTCACACTTAATTAGAACTAAAGTTATCGTGTCCCAAAGCATCAACCAATGAAATTGCTTATCTCTGCTTACCCTACGCAGAAAAAGCTCATCTTCGAACACCATCAAGGCATTGACCTAATAAACACCTAAATCAAGTTTGAACATTCTACCTCAATTAGAAAGAGAGTTATTGTGTTCCAAAATCTCGGCAAATCAAATTGCTTATCACTCTGCTTATCACTCTGCTTATCACTCTGCATCGCCGATGCATCGATTAGGCTGACGCCGATTCGATTCTCCGCAAAAATACTAATAATTAACTTTATGTGTCCGAGGAATCCGAGGAGTTCACAAGTTCGGCCACTAGAATAAATAACACCTTTTCAATACGTTTTTCTGCGTGTTTTTTATAATTCAAAATAAAACAATATATATGTAACGGAACAATTCAATGAATCACGCACAAAGTATTAGGCTTGACCTGTTTACAATTCCGTTATGTTTGTCTCCATTTTCCTGTGACCACAAAGACTGCGTTTGCTTATTACGTCCCCTGGCTATCATGTCCTTTAACCCCAAGGCCAATTTCATGGTTCATTTAAATGACCAAACGAACTATGTCAGGCAGCCGGTTTTTAGCGCTACTTTTAAAACGATTCAGTCTTATTTTCTGTCACAGGCAATAGAGAATGTACTTCATAAATCCCTATAGACAGGCTTTGATATGTTCCGTATAAATAATACAAACTGTCTCTTGTAATCACCTCACCCCTTCACAACAAATTTGAACAATGGCTAACGAGTAGTCAATTGAAGTGAATCGGACGATATTAATGTCATAATAAATTACAGAATCTAATTGTGGAGATAAATTCATTCAAATAAATCAACATTTCTATAATAGGCCTAATGATAATGTTAGGGAAATTTATGTTTCTATCAGAAATACTAATGTTATTTCTGTAATTTTTGATTAACAAAATGACGGCCAAAAATTCCTGATGCATCGATGCGAGAATCGATGTTTGCGTACGATGCATCGGTGCGTAAAATTTTACTTGATATCAGCACTAACACCAAGTTTCATCACTCTCACTTTATTAGATCTAAATTTGTCGTGTCCCAAAGCATCAACCAATCAAATTGCTTATCTCTGCTTACCCTAAGCAGAAAATGCTCATCTTCGAACTCCATAAAGGCATTGACCTAATAAACACCTACGCGAAGTTTGAACATTCTAGCTTAATTAGAAAGAGAGTTATTGTGTCCAAATAGTGTGACGGACAGACAGACAGACGGATGAACCCATTTTAATAGCTCCCTGCTTTCTTCAAAAGGCGGGGCACAAAAAGTAAAATAAGGGCCATAAATTTAGAAGTAATCGACAGAAATTGCTGAAATTCAATAGGATTTACAAATTTTTAAAATAATGCATATAAATTTCATACAGATTGGATGATAACTTTCATCATTCGAGCGTTCACAAGGTGAAACAAGAGCCATAACTCTACAAGTAATTGTTTGAAAATGATGATATTCAATAGGATTCTTCATTTTACTAATTTAAATGGTGCATATAAATTTCGTAAAGATCAGATGATAACTTTCATCCTTTAATGTTCACAAGGTTGAACAAGTTAAACAAGGACGATAACTCTAGACATAATTATTGGAGATTGCTGAAATTCAATAGGAGTCAATGTCACTAATTTAAATGATCTGTGTAAATTTCATACAGATCGGATGATAATTTTTGTCGTTCACAAGGTGCAAGAAAGTGAAACAAGGGCCATACCTCCAAAAACATAAACGGAAATTCAATATAATTCTTTGTTTTACTAATCTAAATGATGCATATAAATTTCATACAGATCAGATAATAACTTTTGTTGTTCAAGCATTCACTAAAGTGAAACAAGGGCCATAACTCTAGAAGAAATTAACGGAAATTGCTGAAATTCAATAGGCTGCTTCGTTTCAGTCATCTAAATTATGCATATAAATTTCATACAGATCGGATAATAACTGTTGTTAGAACATTCACAAGAGGTGTATAAAAACTAGATAATGTAAAGGGAATTTGCTGAAAATATCAGTCAAATTGATCCACCCTGAACCGAGAATTTAGCAATTGAATTTTGGGCCTAGCCTCATCATCATTACTAAAGTCGGTACGATAAAAAACAGTCTCAATTATCCATTTTTTTTAATTTAATCAGCAGCAGCAGACCGGGTTCTAATCCAGTAAAATTAATGTCTAATTAATAATTTAGATAACATTCCAGGTATAAAGAAAGACCTGCAATTGGAAGATTTAGCTCTTGCATAATGTATGTTTAATAATTTATCTAACATTTAAGGCCTATAATAGGCAAATTTAGCTCTTGAATAATGTATCTTTAAACAAACGGGAGGTTAATCTCAATACAATGACATGTTGCACTATTAATTATACATGTAATTAGAGAATTATAAGAATAAATACTTACAGAGATAAACATGAAAACTAAAGAGATGAATGAGTAAAAGTAAAGCCAGTAATCCTAATATACCAGTAGCTCCAACAATACCTATCCATACTGTATCAGATACATCACCATATACTAACTTAAAATCTGAAATAGACAAATATGATTAAAATTATATACCGGTATCCAACAAAAGCATTTGTATTTATAAATCCTAATGGTACCTTTATTTCAATATTATTTAGTTTTATTGAAGAGTTCAATTCAAATCAAATGGCTTTAATAATTCTGTTCTGTACATCACTGGCCTTTTTTTAACATTAACAATAGACAGTCAGTCTACTGACATAAGGTTGAAACTCCTTTCTTTTTCTTAATACAATTACAATTAAATATAAACCAAATGAACAAGAATAAGTTAAATACCTGCCAAAGTCTGATTAATTGTATCTGAAATTTAAAACAAACAAGTACATGCATAATCAAAATATTTGTTTTTATCGTAACAATTACAAATGCATAGATTGTAACAACTCTTTAAGCGAATCTGAATGGCATTCCCACTTTCCAAGAATAAAAATATTACTGGGTACCTTGATATGGAAACAATATTTTGCCATCATCTTTATCAGTGAAATATCCTATAAATTCTACCAGTGATACACAGAATACCATAGCTGTTCCCACTAAACCACTTACTAATGTTGCAATAAACCACCTAAAATATTCAAATGAAATATTAACCATTTGTTATTCTGCCATAAACAAGATATGTGTATAAGATATTGGATGACATAATGTTATGCCCTACTGAACTTATTTAAAATCATGTTAGACCTGTAACTATAATATACCCAAATATTGATTTAGTGCATTATGTTTAGCCTAAATATATTGTGATACTATGGATCAATTTGACTGAAAATTTCAGCAAATTCCCTTTACATTATCTAGTTTTTAACTATTATAGTGAGAACTGCCAGCTCTTTATCTAATCTCCCATAATGTTACTTTAATTGTTAAAACAAGCTCACATATTTTGGCAAACTATGTCATTGCAGATGACAGTCATCATTATAACCTTTTAATTGAGAAAAATCACACCAATTATCTATTAGAATTTCATATTTCTTAGACTAAAAGATGCACATTATTTGAATTAAAATACAAAATATTACACAATTTTCATATATTGCAATACAACAAATTGATATTTTGCGCTTTAATACAATACAATTTTCAGCTTCAATACTTAACACTAGTTATAATTGAATATAAACTAATTGAATATAAACTACCGTTAATTGATATACAAAAATATTGTAGATAACTGACAAGTTTAATTTTTAATGTAAGTACATTTGGTTATATTAACCACACAAAAAATTAATTAAACAGTACACTCCTCTTGGTTTACATCTTTTTTATTATTTACGAGAATTGCTCCGTAGGGAAAAGACTACATTAAAAGATGGTAAAGATATCATTCTGATCATGTTATTTATCGTCTGTATATTACAATAGTTTTAACAATAGCATTAATCTAACATGAAATAGCTGTATGTTTAAATAAATAATGTCATCTTACTTATAGTTATTACTTCCCACACAATTATTCAACCATTTACAGTGATGATCAAATCCAGCTATACATTTATTACATGCACTACAATGTTTGGATTTAGGACCCCTGAAAGTAACATTAAAAAACACAACAATAATCAATTACTATTATAAGGCTAAGCAGTCAACCCTACTTCACATCACATGTAAGCTCAGAATCAACCTCACCACGCTTGCATTGTTGACAAATCGATAGATAGAGGCAAGTTTGATAAAGTAGTACAGTAATATTTACGAATTATATGTAGCCTACTTGTAAACAAATACCTTATGAGCTTTGTGAAACAGGAGCCTGGGATAGAGTGAGATGCAAACAGGACTTGAAATTGTAACTTAATACTGTTATACAAAACAAATGTCGTTTTCACTGCAATCAGATAGGCAATGATAAGCGCAATTGTTAACCACATTTCTTTACATCAATTATTTCTCATTTTCATTTTAATTTTGGTTAAAATCCAACCTTGAGACAGACTTGTGTCAGCTTTAATTTAATACAGTACTTACACATTGACTTCACAGAGATAACAATACTGATTTTCTATAACATGTCTGTGTTTCTGTCTATCAAATGTACCAGATGGTCTCAAATTATTTTTCTTTACAACTGAAGAATCAGCTGGATTAATAGATGCTGCAACAAAATGGCTGATTATATGTATCAAACATCCTATGCCATTTATCTGGTCAGTTAGTTAAGGAATAATCAATTCTTTATACCAATACATCTGGACAAAGGTACTACTTCAGTACTAGTACAATGTTAATACAAATGTCCACAATTCACACTGTATTGGGATGTTGTTAATAAAGAGGCTTAAATTGAGTTCTTAAGAAAATATGACATTGAAACAACATGTCTAATATAAATTGTTGACTTTCCAACAAATTTATTACCAAAGAAGAAACGAAAATAGGGTGATTGTGCCCTTTTAAAATTTTCTCTTGTACGAATGCAGTGAAGTCAAAGGTTTATAACACTATTAATATAGTGTGTTAAGACAGAACTCACAAATGTGTTGTTTCAGCCTCATCAAAAAGGGTTAAATATCATTTTATATTATATGCATTTTCCAAAGTAACTATTAGGTCTGTGTCGATATTTCGATATCGTACACCAATACATGTTGATACGCTCCGGTGGTATTTGTATCAATACGGAATATAGCTGTATTGTTGTATCGTTGAAAAAATATGTTCTTTAGTTAAGAAAGACCATGAAACTTATTAATAGGTTCTAAATAACTATTAAATTATTAATTTGTTTGCTTTACCATCTCAGTCTTTGTAGCATCGTGTGAAGTAAACAAACTGGTCTTAAACTTAAGTCAGATAAATGCTTCTACTTCTGTTACCTGTTCAGTATTCACTTACTGTACTTCGATCGATCGTAGTTTTACTTAATTAATCCAAGAAAACTATTAAACTGTCATAAATCAAATTAATGAATTATTTCTTTAATAACGAAACAAAAATGATATCAGTTTCACAGTTTGTTTTTGACATCTGGTTAACTATAGCTACACGACCTCGATCTGGGTTCAGTCGCATCCTGCTATACTTTTATCATCTGCTATGATGTCCCGCAAAAATAAATTAAAGATTTTTATCAAACGAAAATAATGAAGTTGCATGCTGTCTGTTTAAGGCAGAGGTAGCAACCTCCGGGAGAACAACAAACATGCTAACCCATCTTAGTTTTAGTTATCAAAATGTAGTTTGAGACTATTTTGGGCATTATTCGTGATATCACCATATCATGAAACGATCGTGTATCGACCAGTGATGGTATTTCGCCTGTATATTCCGGACATGTCCGACGCTATTTTCCAAACGTCCTAAATTGGCCAACCAGGAATATGCCCAATCAGACATCAAGACATGGTGAATAATATTCAAAATTCCCAAATTAATATAGTGTACTGAGTGTATAACTACAATTCAACCCGATTATCGTGATAATAGGTTGGATTGATTAGGTAATTAAGTGATCAAGGTATTTATCGTGTGACACCGTCTATACACCTACATTGATTAACTAATCTGCCTTGATTGGCTGACTTAACCCATTGTCAGACATTTCATCAATGCAATCCTGAACAGAAGTCATTGCTTCACCTTTGCCGGACTATATATCAATCCAATAAGAGTGATTATAAACTTAATCTACGTGATTAACCCCAATCAATATACATTGTATCCGATAACTTGTCTGTGATATTTCTTCGGTGGAAGCCGAAGGTAAATAAAGCTATTTCACACACACACGTGGCAGTTATAGTACAATAACTGAAAAGAAAGTAGAAATCTCGCGAGACACGTGAAATTTTAAGAGATGTAAACATGCCGAATGTCACACGACTGATGTCGTAGAAATAGTTCTATTTTGAAGCCATAATATCAGATTTATGATATTTTGAATGAGGTTTATGTTTTCAAATAAATAAAAAAAAGTTAAGAAATGTTGACAAATATTTCGATTGGAACAATGTAAGTAGTTAATTGTTGTAGACGATAGCACGTGCTAGAGTCGAATGCGATTATTTAGCAGTTGGTGTCACACGCTCGTCGTGGTAGAGCGACGTTTACTGCCAAATAAATTTTGAGATGTCATTTTTTTTTACCTTCCATATAAGTCGAAACAGAGTATAAGACTAATGCCAGACTTCTGCTGAAAAATATATCGACTTATGACCCGAAAAATACGGTAATTTTGGAGAAATTTGAAACGAAAAGGATTGGCAGTATGCCAGTAGTCAGCACGCTTTCATTCTATGGTACGATGTCATGTAATGTTGTAGGAACATTATTGACATAAATTTGAATACCGTACGGGAATTAAACATCAAAAATAACGAGGTGCCCCTATTTTTTTATTATGTATGAATTTGAATATTTTGTTGACACATGATTCTTAGTTGTGGTTTGAAAACGCCTGCTTAAATATCGACACAGCCCTATTAACTACTGAATCAATTTAGTTACATTTCAATGTCAGAATTTATTAGAAAATTGAGTTTATGACAAGATTCAATCCCCATCTAATAGATACAAAAGAAAACAATATTTTACTGTGGAACTTTGAAAGGATACAATATAAGCTGCTGGCTGCCAATTTAATGTAAGAGCTGGGACCAGGGTGGTAAAATAAATAAAAACAAAGAAAATGACAACTAGCCATGCTATAAACTGTAACGGATGGGGAGGTAGAGACCAGCCATTGCGTCTGCTACTTTCACGATAAATTGTGCTTTCTGGTGGCATCTGCAGAAAAAAGAATTTTTAAAATTTTTAAAACTTTTACATATATTACAACAAATTATATACATTGTTTGGTGTAAGTAAGGTTGTCACCTTCCTGAGATCAATAAAGTTGAAGTAGCAATTTTTTGTCAGTTACCGGTAATCCGCCCGTTAACATATCAATTCATTTGATTTGATAGTAATTTGATTAGTTATATAGTACAGTTACACAAGGTTTCTTTTCTTATCTTTGGGTTTACCATAAGTCTGAGGTTTTAATTGGATGCTTCGTACATGTAGGTGGTACAGTTTTCCAGAACTTAAAATAAAATAGTGGTAATCTGTATTATGAATAAATAAAAATATTGCTACAGGTACTTTAAAGTGTATCATTCCTGGCTATTTCAAAACCAGTGCAAACAGGTGACTAAGCTGGGCTCCCCATTTTACAATGTTACATGTAGCTGCCCTTGCATTAATGGGAATACAAGTTTCATACTAAAATTGCAGCCAAATACTGTACTGATCAGCCCCAGAATGGAATTACTACAAAAGACTGTTATCAAACTGTTTTTAAGACTCATTCATCTAGGAAAATTATAGCCACATCCTTACCCCGGTACGTTGCATGTATACATTCATAGGCTATGGTGGTTGATCAAGTAGAAGACCAAGAAATGCAATGAGATGGTATTTCACGTCCTAATGACAAGGGTTCTTTAAAATGCCCACCAATGTGTACCTGGGACCTCTGTTTTTCACCCCACCTAAACAAACTACTGCAGGCCTTCACGTTTGAGGCACGCTGTCACTCTCGCACTCACTCGCTCACCTAAATCCCAATTATCTACATGTAAGTGCATATCTTATTGCTCTCCTCAGTCCCTCGAAATCGTTCTCCCAACTGCATATACTATTACACGTACCTCGTATTTACTTCCCATTAATTTACTCTTTACCAATCTGCGATCACACAATATTAATCTGTTATCAATTTCCTTTTTAAGAATCGGTCACTTAGTTGTCCCCATCACGCTAATTTTCCAACCCCAAAAAACATTCACTGGGCAACTAAATGTCCCTAACACACCAATGTATTTACCCACCCAAAAGCGTTCCCTATTATTAGCTATTAGCGGAGTTATGTAAATTTGTGCATTAGGCCTACCCTGTATTTAGATTTCAATGGAGTCTGCCAGTCCGTTTTGCAAAAGGGGACGTATTTTTAGCAGCATGTTGTGTTGCACATACTGACGCTGGCGAGGTAAGCAAGGTCTTATTTTCTCACTAAAATGTTCCTTTACATTGTTCAGGCTGACACACGACCATTTAGCAGTAAAAAGTTGCCTAGTAAAATTGACTGGAGCCGATTTTAGTTTCGACAAGGATTCAATAGGACGGTTCCTGAACGTACAGGGTGAGTGTAATAATGAGACCTACATTCAGAGCTGAACTACGATACAGCCTTGGTTTTTTTTCAAAGTCCAACTGTCAACGTCTTCCCCAATACAGGACCTGGGTTTTTTGTCCAAAACATTTGCACTTGCAGGTCTTCTGTCAGTCTGATTTTCTCACTAAAATGTTCCTTTAGCCTACATTGTTCAGGCGTTCACAGAGACTGACACACGACCATTTAGCAGTAAAAAGTTGCCCAGTAAAATTGACTGGGGCCGATTTTAGTTTCGACAAGGATTGAATAGGACAGTTCCTGAACGTACAGGGTGAGTGTAATAATGAGACCTACGTTCAGATCTGAACTACGATACAGCCTATATTGGGTTTTTTTCAAAGTCCAACTGTCAACCTCTTCCCTAATACAGGACCTTGTTTTTTTGTCCAAAACATTTGCACTTGCAGGCCTTCTGTCAGTCTGATCTGCAGACAATACCTTATTTCTTTATGAGCACTAGCAGACGCAGTAGTTAGTACATACATACATGTACATCATGTACATGTAGCCTAATATTAATAAATAAGCGGGATTAAGCCTTGTATTGTAATAAATGTACTTTAACTTAGGCCTACTGGCGTACTGCATGTATGAATATAAAATGTGAAATGATATTTGGATTAGGCTATTGACAATTAACTACAATACTCACTGAGTTCGTTTACATATTCAAAAGTCCAAAATCGATCTTTTTTTTTTTATTTATTAGGCCTATTTTATTATTATTATATTAGATCTAGGCTATATATGATTTTTATAAAGAAATCATCATTAGGCCTATACATTACATGTACTAAACTCATAGCCCTAATTTCATACAATTTGCATTAGGCGAAAATCTAATTTAATAAATATACAGTCGTCAACAATGTAAGTACCTTTAAAGCTACCCTTTTCTGCAATTCTAGAGTTTATCCATGCCATGCAGTAGCGGTTTTGTTCAAAACATTTTTAGGCAAAATTGTTGACAAGTACAAACACCTATTTCTACAGCCGCCATCTTGAATCTAAGGTAATTTAAACCGCATTACCCTTGATAAACCAATAGACATAAAATAGTGCGCTTTTAATAACATATTATGAAGTGTTTTTAACGGTATTAAATTGACAATACAATCTATTAACACAGGGATTATCGAATAAAATCAGAAACAAAAGCTATTAATAAACAATGTCAATGGTCTGATATAATTATGCGTTGTAATTTATTTGCATTCGGTTACCTTCGTTTTCTTTAGAAGTAAGACCTTTCGAGTTCTGACAATAACACAAACCGTTGTATTTGTTATTATTATAGTTTCAGTCAAAAGTTTGTGTTCAGCTTTTATATGTATAGTATTAGTGTGTCAATGATTGAAACACTAACCTTCAGCATGTCTTTTATCAAGAACGCGAAAACACAAACGACTTAAAATTTACAGGTCACGCAAATTGTCTCCATTAAAAAACGTAATAAACCGAGTGAATCTATATATGGGAAATAACTCTTTCGTAACTATAAATGGGTGCAGACCACCATTAATTTGCCATTGTCTGCGATATCACCTCGGTGGAAGCGGACGTAAAATACAACTAACTAACAACTAGCATTAATTTGCCCACTGACTTTAATGTTAATTCTTGTCTCTTTGCCTGGCTCCAAATTTTCATCCCAGGCGGCAGAAGGAGCAACAGCCGTTCATGTCTTTGCCCCGAAGTTTGTATGAGGCTGACCCCTGAAATTTATAGCAGTTTATTAGTTATTGTCATATGATATGTTCATGTATTTAATGTCTTATTGCTGCCTCTAATGGGGTGATTACATACAAAACAATCTTATTACAGCGATTTTAATGGCTACTGCCTTGTTCTATAATTAATTCTTCTTGAAACACCTAATAAAAATGCAGAAATGCAACAAGATGAATTGAAGTGAAATTTAACGTCCTACTTTTCTGAAACAGTCGGGCGAATGAAGATGGGTATACGCTAAGCAGTTTGCAATGAGGGAAATTTTAACAAGACATTGGCGATAGGCCTACACTTAATTCTAATTCCAACTCTAGGATATAGATACTGGAATTTGTTTTTTTTTCGTCCTATCCGAACGACAAGACGCTGTTACTTGCCAAACCCTCCGCCTTTCAACACAGACAAGGAGAAATCACAAGGAACTTTCTCAACTCACACCGGGATCGAATCCGGGATGTCCTGGTTAGAGTGAGCCGGGGTCTTAGCCATTGAGTCCGAAAACAATCTTAAGGTGTACACTTTTCGTTATAGATGGTTTTACCGTAAACTTCTGACGCCTTGTTTGTAAATATTTTTGTCCATTCGTGCATCGATATTTGTTTTGCATTCCACCAATAGCTATACATGAAGAATGTATATATACTCTATATTATTACCATTATTTTATTATTGATATATAATCATATTAGCCATTATCTTTTAATAATAACAAGTAGCTATTTCCTCCCCGTGTTCAGCATTATGTCTGTAATTAGTGTTATATTATCTTCTACCAAGTTGGATAATATCTTAACTCTCTCCGCATAACATGGCACCACTTTTTCATTTATAAGGAGCGTACAGTGAACAATTATTTTTGAATATTATACAACATGCACACTAATGTGACTATTTTGTATAGAAAACAGTATCACTGTGTCGTCTACAAAGCACGGTATGCGTAGTCTCTCCGGAACACATTTTGACGGGCTTCTTTGATGTTTTGATTTTGTTTTATAGATAAATGTGTTGTCAATCTGAATATTTGATATTTTTCGAAAAATTAAAATGACAAACAGCTTAAATCTAACAATGTTACATCTATTTATTCTGATCTTTTTTAGATTGCAATTGGGTCTAGTATGTGTTGGCCTACATATTTGAATAAGACTGGATTTAAATGGAAGATATTGTCAAGATGTAAAATGGCTAAATGAATTGAAGCCTTTCGTTCACATGATATGGATTTAAGCCTGTGTATAATCAATTATATCTTTGCGATGTCAATTATTACGGCAAATGTCGCAATTCTCTTGCGTGTAGGCATCTTTAACAGTGGGGGTGAAACCAGGGGACCCACAGGAAACCCATAAGGTTGGGCAGGTGACTCTACCCTTTGTCACATACATCGAATTCGAAAGTTATTGAACCAATTCTAATATAGACCCGTGTCAAATATATTTGATGGATTGGTATTTTAGCACCATTCTTTTCCTGACTAAAGTGAAATTCGAATACGGGAACTAGGACACAGCTTTATAGTTGTAACTGGCTATTTCAACATTGTTGCTTTATTATACGACAATAAATAATAAACACTTGAAAACCACCAGAAACATGTAAATTTATTAGAAGTATGGATCAAGATAAACAACAACAATGGCCTTTTATCATAAAACGAAATGAGACAGAGAAAAAGCTTTATTAAAGCCATTATATACGATCATGAAATAATAACATAATATACCATTTCCAGTGGATTTTATATACTAAATGCTAAGTCGTTCCAATAAATATCTGTTATTTCTAACATATGGGATATTTTATTCGAGTGTCTGTGAATTATTATAATCAAATAACAACAACTATACATAATGATATAAACAAATAATTTCAATAAAACACCATAAAATAAACCAAAATATATTTACATGCATACGCCCACCAAAGCTCATTGTGCTGGTTATCACAGTCAGTATAACTGGGTCCTATAACAATCTGAATTTTCGTAAGCTGTTTGTTTCTAGTCCGTAGTACGTTCAGAAAAACATGTTTTTGTGCTTTGAAATTAAAACAGTTTGCTGTTGAAAGATTCTGTTATTATTTTAGAATCAAATTCTCGTCTTAGATCACTGGAAATGGCATTTCCGGGATTCTAGTGTTCGAAATATTTCGAGGGAGGCCACATGGACGCCCGTGCGTCCCCCCGCCCCCCATATCCATGGTCTCTGGGTCCGCCCTTAAACTTTGCGATTTGTGAATGGATTGTTTACAGCATTATTCCATATACCTGTAAACATATCAACTGTTTGGGCAAATTTGAAAACAAAAACGTTAAAAACTCTGCATATACAAACAAAATATATATAAAGACAATTGGCAGACCGACAGGCGTACGCAACGACAGTGCGTAGGTCCTTTAAGCAAATGTGGGTGAATAAAAAGGTGCCTTTTTTGTAAAACAATTGTTCTAAGTGAAAATAAAGGTTTTTTTAAATTAAAATTTGCTTTCAAAACTCGTCGCTGCAGTTATTTTACTTTCATATTGATAAATACTAACCCGGCTTGTGGTTTCAATATAATATGCAATGAATAAATAAATAAAAATATGTATATTTTGTGAGTCCTTGTTGAAGATGATCCATCAATAACATATTGAGACCCTTTGTCTTGTAATATTCTAAATTCACTGTCCATGTCAATAGCCACTCGAAATATAAGCAGATCATCAAAACTGGCGCATGTACATCCAACCATGTTAGTTAATTACACCAAAAATAGCAGCACTGTCATAATGTATATAATATATCTATATTAGACGATCGGGTGGAATATCTGTAGGCGAACCAATACTATCTTTATCACCATCTTCATCTTGTTCTTTCATACATGTTATAAATTCTGAAATGTATCAATTTTGTAGTTTAATTCGCTAAAATCGGGTTAAAATGAATTTTTAATGGGTCTGTTGTCGCCGGAGAAAATACATTATCAAACTAAAAAGTGATCTACGATTATACTACATTATTTCAAAGCGTGTGGAATTAAAATTTGACTGCGTGGGTGAACCGATCAGCTAAGAGTAAGACACTATATCCCTCGAGTTTTGCGTCATGACATTTAAAGTTATATCATCGTGTACTTAAAAGGATGCGGTATTTATTTATCAGGTGGTCCAGATCATTAGGATGTTTATTATCAATATTGGCATACTCTTTTGAAAAAGAAAGAAAAAAAAACATAATTCAGTTTGGCAATAAGTCTTTTTAATTACATTATAAGGTAACCCATCTCTCGACCCTGCGTGTCTCCAGATGAGGACAGGTACTATATTTATAGCTCTATCTAGCAGCTTGTCGCTGTGAATCACAGTCACGGTGGCTAGGTGGGTAAGACGCTGGCTCGCTAGCCCGGAGGTCATCGGTATTTTCCAGCGTGGTTTCTCCTTGTCAGGCTATCCGTCCTGCACCACTGACAAGGAGAAACCACGCTGGAAAATACCGATGACCTCCAGGCTAGCAAGCCAGCCAGCGTCCTACCCACCTAGCTAGCATGCCCCCCCCCCCCCCCCGGCGCATAGATTGGTCGTTCATGTATAATATGTGCTGAAAGTGGAAAATCCAAGAATGTTCTAGAGAAATTCTTATCGCACTGCAGATTATAAAATGTATCATATATCATAATCTCACAGGTCTTATACCCTCTTTCTCGCTAAAACCACAACAGTTTTAATAATTTTTGTCATATTTCGAGCAATCAAAGGAGGGACCTGACTATCCCTTCCGAAATTAGTCACTAATCATCATCTATTTTAAAAACTTTTATTAATATTGCAAACATGACCAGATTGCATTGTCTTTATCTTCATATAGACCAAACACTCACGTATGTATATATATATATATATATATATATATATTGTTAAAAATATATACCTTCAAAATCTATTCTTCCATCTCCATCTATATCCACCTCAGCTATCATTTCATCAACTACAAGAAGAAGAATATCTTAGTAATTAATTTCTTATCTTTTCACAATCTACGCAAATAAGGTCAAATAATGCCAATGTCTCATAACCATGATAAAATGATTATGTTTATTTTAATCAGGTCAGTATGTGATTGAATAATCCCCAGTAAAATAAAAAGAAAGTAAGAGCTGGGTTCGAACACGCCTGTTTCATCTCCATCATGCGCTTTAATTTTGGACGTTGTTCAAGCCTCTGTAAATAATGGTGATTGATATATTTTTTTAGAATATAAATATAATAAATTCGGCCATTATTTTACAGATCAGAATTCTTGGACTAGTCTAGAACATATATGGCATTATATCTCAGCCTACATTCTATAAATATTAATTAGATGACAGACGAACTGTTCCAAAGGAGATGTCTTCGAACTTCTGTATACATGTATTCTGGGCCCTTATTCACGAAAACTTAAACTAAGATACAGTCGAAGTTTTAAGAAATACTTGCAATTCGATTGGCTGACCAGTAAAATCAATTTGCATATATCCAATGAAGTTGCAGTATTTCTTAAATTTCGGTTGTAACTTAGTTAAAGTTTTCGTGAATAAGGGCCCTGGACTATAATACAATCAGAACAATGGGTGTTTCTAGACTAAACCAGTGTCGTGTTTTCATTTGATACCCTGTCCGGCACGGTTTCTTGATTTCGTGAAATCCCCTTGGTTAACTTTATATATATTTGATCTTTTAGTGTCATTTACTATAACCAAGTGCTTTATTTTCGCCAACATTTAAAGCGGACGTTGGAGTTTTTATTTTAGTCGTTAACTTTTCTTGTGACCGCTCTATGCTACAGTTCTTGTTTTATTTCCAAATTTCCAGTAATTGTTCATGTGGTCAAAAGCAAGATCCATAACGCAATTCAAAATTTTTTAATTGTCATAATCTCAGAGGTATATTCTCAATTACTGTTGGATTGATGGAATTTTATTAACCCCATACAGGATAAAGTTCTAGACAGAATTTTTCAAAGCTTCGTGGGATTATGACATATAATGATGAACCCCGTCAAATTTCAAAAGTTTGGTTCGTGAACGTGATACAGGAAAGAATTCTCATTGAATTATTTAAAACATGGTGGTATTATTCATTAAAGTGCATAAGGGAGAAGGCAAGCCTATTTTTCAAAATATCTGGATCGTACATTTCAAACCCTTTTAGTTGAGTAATGTTTCTGTTCACATTTTGACTGTGAAAGCAGTCCATACATGTTATTTGATGTGATTTTGTAAAACTTGGCGAGACTGTTTACTTGGACATAATACCCTATCCCAAAACCGATTTTGGCGGTATAGTTATCCAGGTCATTTACACCACAATTCATAAAACCCGTGAACAGGATACTGGACAAAGTTCTCGACGGAATTTTCTAAAGCTTGACGAAATTGTCCAATAAGAACCACACCGCATTTCAAAATTTTCTGATCCTAAGTTTCAAACGCGTTTTGCAGAGTTACCCTTCTGATCACATTTCAAATTTTGTGGTAAAATGTCGGTGTCATGGCCTCATGGGGGCCAACAACAGCAATGTTCAACGACAAACCACCAATCCTTGTGTGGCCAATACCACATATAACAATTATATATATATTAGCCATTGTGCAATAACCATCTACCATTTGCTATGGTAAAGAAATTATTTAATTAAACTTACTTTCTTCTTCTGTTAAATCTTCCCCCATACATTGTAACACACATCTTAAATCAGACGGTGTTATATAACCACACCCTGACTTATCAAATACCTAAATTCAATAAAAAAAAATTACAATCAAAAATAGAAATTACCGATTTCATTGGGTTTTAAATGCTGATTTGTTTTGTAGTATCACAATATCTGTCCGCCCCTCACTAACTGAAATTACACATCAGATTAACCCATTTCAATACTTTACTTTTTTTCTACATAGAGGCTTAGCGCCTTTAAACCTCATTTACAAAGAGGATTGTATTCTCGGGGTTTTCGTTCTTGGATTTTCACTAAACCAATCGTCTAGTCTATCTACTAGTATTTATACAGCAAGCCGATGAAACATTTATATTTTTGGTAAAAGTCTAACAATTATACACATGGTTATCCAATAATTCATGCTGTATTCTAAGAATAAAAATATTTCTTAGTTACACATACACATTGAGTATAATATGCAGTCTAACTTAGTATGAATACTAGTCCGCCTTGTATTTCTATTTTATATCAGAATAAACATTGTCTACAGTAATTTAGCCTGACGCTCTTGAAAATTTGATTAGTGTAATAATGTCAGAGTCGATCAGACATGTTCCTGTAATGTGGTAGAGATTGCGGTATTCGTTTGACAGCTCTACATGGATGTATGTGTCTGTAAATGTAACTACCACACATTACTTGATTAATGTCACGTCCTTAATAGAAACAGGGGAGGTATTTCTTCTTGTTGAGAAATGTTTCTAACCGTTAATTTAACGTGGTCGTTACCTACACGTTTATTTTCAAAAAGACAATAAATAACTGCTCTACTGTCAATATAATGGTAAGACGACCACAACTTCGATCGCCCGATGCAAAACGTTACATTTTAGTAACAAAGAAGTTCTTTAGACAAAGTTGGCAGCACTTTTTAATCCATTGAATATACTCAAGTTCTGAAAGATGCCATCTGGAAATAAAAACACAATTCTAGCATATGGTCCCAAAGATTGTTAACGTAGTCGTTACCTACACGTTTATTTTCAGGAAGAAAATGGCTGCTCTACTGTCAATATAATGGTAAGACGAATGCAGGTTTTGAAAGATGGCATTTGGAAATAAAAACAAAATTCTAACATTTATGGCCCCAGCGATTGTTAAGCTGCATCAGTAGAATATAGTGTCAAGGTTTCGTGACATCATATCAAAACTATATTCTAGAAACATTTCTCAACAAAATGATTTCCACAAAAAATGCACTTTTTGACCATTGATGCCTGATGATTGTGGATTGCAACCGAATTGTACGGGACACTGCTAGATCACCAATTCTACATACCAGCCCTATTAGATTAATATTGCGTGATCAGTTGCCAAGAAAGATACTGGACAAACAAACAGACAGAAGGACATTCCGACAACCACGGTAAACTTTCTACTGCCGCCGTTTAACAGGAAATGCTGATAGGCGTTTTGAACATATTGACATTGGCTAAGTATGCAAGTATCACGAGATACAGGGGAAGACCCTTACTCTAAATGCTTGTCTTAGTTCTTCTTCTTCGTCTTCCTCGGAGTTTTCACTGATTCCACCCATATTCGCCATAACCTGGGCAAATTCTTCGAAGCTAAACAAACCATCACCTTAAGAAATAGACAAAATATTCAAAATATGGTTCAGTGGTCAGCTGAAACTTGAATATGACGGGTGTTGACATGTCGTCTGTTCTGAAATACATTCTCTTCATGTTAGCACCGATGGGAAAAGACCAAAGGGTAATGGTAAAAGGTAAAAGAAAGGACATCCTAATAGTACACGCAATTATTCTCTTGTGGGTTCCATCTTTCAGTTTCCCGTCTTCATTAGACTAGTCGGTGCAGACAAGTAGGACGTTAAACCCCATTTCATTTCATTTCACATTTCAGTTCCCTATGCGAAGTTTAATCGACGCTGAAAAGAATATATTTTCTGAAAAGGCCTTATTGGTGAGATCATTTACTAACTTCGTCTGTTAATATGGAACTCAGAACACTTCATTGAGTGTGTAAACCCCTGGTAATCATACAAGCGTACATTATATCAAATTTGATGATTGCCTGCTATTAGAATGGATAGGAAAAATTGAGAGCCATTGTTTAAAACCCAGATTAACCACGGCCAGTGCTGTTAGTTCTCATTCACCATGATGCTAAGCCTGGAAGCATTCCTGATTATCTTGTTAGAACTGTAAATAGGAAGCTTTAGCCACAACCAGTCATTTGTAAATAAACACTAGCCTACATACGTTGATAAGGGCTACTAAATATCTGTGATACAAATCTGATGTTAATCAGCAGGTTTTGACTAATACAAGCATTTACCATGCGACAACATATGATTAGCACTATGTATTTATTTAGATCAGGTGACATAAATATCAAGCTGTAGACTACATGATGACGTCTGCAAACGCATTTTGATTGATAATTGATTAACTCGTTCCCACCCATTAGTATAAATAAACCGACTACAAGACGTGGACTAATACAATATATCGTCTGCTTACCATCAATGTCAATTTCTTGTATCATCTGCTTTAATTCGTCTATGGAGGGAAATTGACCAAGATTTCTCATGACGGTTCCCAATTCTTCCGTTGTAATGGATCCATCGCCATCTTTGTCGAATAACCGGAATGCCTCTTTCAATTCTGTATATAGAAATTATCTTGATTAATACTCAGGAGTGGATGGAGCCCACGACCCCAAAAATAACTTTTTTTTAAATTTGGAGTAGTCAGTACAAATAAATTGCAATGCCACACAACCATCATATAGGTCTAGTTTTATTCAATTAATTTATCTGAAAATATTGGTGACAATACAGCTAAGCACAAACATCCTAAATATAGTTTCCAACAGACAACGTTATTTTCAAGCTGAGCAGTGGTCTAGTCTCAGTTTAACATTCTTGATCGACTCCAGATACAGTATAATCGTACACAGATTATTGAGAAATGACAAATGTTGGGTGTTTTGCATAAATACACCCATTAACCACTTGTTGTTCTCGTCGTGAACTCTTTTTTTTATTTAACAGAAATCAAGAACAGTGTTCCATTCATCTATATGTTAGGTTTTGTTTCTTTTTTAAAAAATAGATATGACCTTTTTCTGAACATTAGACTTTAAATCAGTGTTAACTTACCCCTTATTTGTGCTGGACTGTACTTGTCTAATATACTACTCTGAAAACAACCAAGAAACAACCAATTTTAATTGTAAAAATCCACACTGTTAAAAATGGGTGTAATTAAAAACTATAAGCAGTGTTAATTAAGTGTAAACTTTACACCACAGCTAGCGTTTATTTAAATGTAATAACTTTCCAAGGGTAACCAACTAAAAGAACTACATCTAACAAGTGTAACCGATATTCATGACTACTGAACACCTGAATAGGTGTAATTGTGGAGTGTTTTGGATAGGCTACACCACTATCAGTGCTATACTGCATGTGCACCACAGGGTGTAACTATTATTGGGGAATAATAAATTCTGGAACAGCGTTAATTTTACAGTAATCGATATTCATGAGTACTGAACACCAGGATAGGTGTAGTTGTAGCTGCTAAAGTGTGTTTGGGATGAGCTACCCCTCTTCGCCTCTGCATATTTTTGTAAAATATGGCGTTAATTGCACTAGTAACACAACTATAACTCATTTAAGAATGTTTATTCATAACGAGTAAAGTATAGATTACTTTAGCTTGCATACACTTAAAGGTGTGTAAATGTTCTAAAGTACAATATCTTAATTAATAATTCTTAATGCAGGTGAGGTGCATAAATGAATAAACCACATTATTCAGCTAAGTTGTAAGGATATGTGTATTGATTTTTCCTCATCATTTAAATTCATTGTAAATTGATACAGATTGTCTAATTGCCCAACAGCAGTTGAATTTGAATCAGTCTGATGGGTATGTGTCAATTTAATGTCAGTGTAAGCGAAGTATGTAATCTGGGTCGGGCTAAACGCCCCATACTAATTATCATAGAGACCGATAACCAATTTCAAGTTTTCTGAACTTAGAAGTCGTTGGCTTGAAATAAATATCCAACAAAACAAATTACACAAATTAAAAGGGAGGTGTAATTTAGAAAACATCCTTGAGAGGTAATGCTTAATCTACACCCACGGGTATAATCTATTGTAACATTACACTCTGAGTGCATTAGGCAAGTTACACTACTGGAGATGGCAACTAGTTTTCACCCGAATCGGTGTAATGTTCTACACTAGTTGGGTGTTATCGGTTTACACCACTAAAGGCTAGGAGTTGCCCCTATTTAGGTGTCAACTAGTTTCCACCCGAATTAGTGTAAACTACCTTATTATTTTTAACTGTGCACTGTTTGAATTCAACATTATATAAAATATTGAGTACAGGAGGACCAGAGAATACCAACAACTGGATGCGTAAAAGGCAAACATTGGAAACAAGCGCACGTTGTAAGTCCCAAGGGAATGGGGTCGGGCCGTAAGTGTCCACACAATTCCGGTTTATTTATTTTTTCTGGGTGACTGACCCCTTTTAAAATAAAGAATGGTACTTCATCTTCTTACTGTAAGTTACAAATCATCCGCGTATTTTATCACATATAAGAGAGGTGAAAGTACAGAAAAATAGATAATACCGTCAGTTAAAGATCTATATATATCGAATATTGTGAACATAAAAAAATAATAATATTACTATACAAGCTTAGATATCGACAGTAAAACTACTTTCTTGTCATCAGCAATAGCTTATTGAAATTCATCATGACTATGGCTAACTAATTCAATATTTCCGCAGCGATTAGATCGATTGTAGAATGTCTTGATAAAGATTTCTGATACAAATACCCCATGACTAGCTTACAAAATAGCTCTAATTGATTTGCGCCTTAATAAGCTTGTCAAATATTTGGCAATAAAACTGTGTATTTTGTATGATTAATTTGTGTTGGGTTTTATGGGGATATCTTATCAGATAACCACCGCCTAACAATATTCTACACACATAATAATAAACGTGATAATATAATCAAATCAGGCAGATATCTTACCAATTTCCTGATTCTACCAAATGGTGTAATTTACTGATTAAATCATTTCAATCTGTTTCATAGAGGTATTGCGGAAACTTTCTTCTTGTAGGGGCATAGCGAATATTCACTCCTGATCAGTGTGAAATCATTTTAGTATCAAATCACTCACTTCGTATTTCATGCTGTTTTACTCCCAATAATCCGGGCGCCAGGGCAGCTAACCCACTTTTATTTGATATACATTTTTTTTCTCGGTGGATTATTGTGTATAGGATCCCTCCAATTTTTCTATGGTGGGTGTGTTCATGTCACCCTTGGGGAAACTCGGAAATTCAAGATGGCGGCCACAAATGTCGAGAAAAATATAAAAATTCGCTTTTCTCACTACTAAGGCATTAAAATACCATTTCATATGTTTTCGAGGCTTCTGAGCACGAATATGCAAGATATCCAAGACGGCGGCCAAACTATATGTTTCGAGGCTGTTGACCACAAATCTACAGTAGATTAATTGCCAAATCGACCCATAGAGACCGAGATATCTACGATTGTGGCCAAAAATGGTGGGGAAAATATTTTTAAAAAATCGATTTTTCTCACTTCTAGGGCAGGTAAAGATGTCGTGTTTTATGTTTTCGAGGCTGTTGAGCACGAATCTGCAGATTTGTCAAACCGTCCCCTAGCGACGAAGATATCTAAGATACAAGATGCAGGTAATCAAACTATACTAGGGGATTTTGAAATGCAAATACCTATGCAAGTTGTGATATGATAAATAGTCATGGCAGGATGGACATTTGACATGCTTTGAGAGTATGTTCACAGACAGCTGAAGAACTTATCGTCCCAACAAAACCACTAAGCTGCACATGCGACACGCAGTAGCGCCATACACGTGGGAGGGGTTCTTTGTCAAATTTGACACTTCAAGGAAGGGTTGATGAAAACTGCCGCATGCTGGTTTATCTATCCATGTTTCCTTTCCTACCGATTCTTGCATAAGATTTACTGTTTAGCGTATCTTTGCTTTAGTATGTTACGTTTAATTTGATCGGGAGACGTGTTCGTCGGCGTCAATGTCAACCGACAACACTGCAAGAATTGGTCGTGGCACTGCAAGAGGGGTGGGTCAGATTTCCACAAATCGTGATTGGACGGTTGATTAGGAGCATGCCACGACGAATTGCTAAAGGTGTGAGGATTTGTGGAGAAATTACTCATTATTAAGACAAAAATCAAAAACGTCCATTTTCATTTTTGACGGTGTATCTCTTTGCGAGTCAAATGGGGCCGTCAGATAAGTCGCCTATATGAACTGTTTATGTTCATGTGTAGGCAATTGGCCTGTTATTAACATACACTGGTTACCTCTAATAAAAACAGCAGTGCATTTCTGTAGTTTTGTATTGTTTCTGAATATCCCCTACTTTTTTTGAAGAGTATATATAGAAAAAGAAATGATCTAATACAAGAACATCAAAGAGATTTATTCAAAAAATTCGATCACTTTGAGGAGCTGTTCTAAAACCATTTTCTCGACTGGTACCATCGTTGGGACCAGTGACAGTGGGCGGTTATTTGCCTGGAATTAGAAATCGGATTTAGACACATGGTCGTAACAGACTTCAGACTTCATCTTGAATATCCACAGGTTTTTTTTTTAAGTGGTCAAGGACAATAACTCTGGAACTACATATTGGATATTGTTGAAAATGTATTAGATTTCTTGTCTGATAAAAATAGCTACAGTTATTATGTTTTGAAAAAAATAACTATCTTCATATATGTATAGTACGAGACGTAAAAACGGAACTGATGAAAATAAGTACAGTGATTATGTTTTGTAAAAACGGAACTGATGAAAACAACTACAGTGATTATATACTCAAAGCCATTATAAAAACGCAATGCCTAATTCGTGAAATATTTCTGGTAAACCGTAAACGTTTTCTTGGGTTTTCCTATCTTATGGCACATAGGTGAAACTTGTGATGGGGCTCTTTTTGTGGAGTTCTGGGTTTGAACCCAATATCAGTTCTCGGTAATGAACTTTGTTCGTGCAAACGCAACACTTGTCTTTTTTCACGATTCTAAGCAGTCCCGTGTCACATGTTTTGCACGCGCATTCCCTGCACTCTGTCCCTTTAAAGACAGATCAAAATTTCAACATTCATCACTTCGGAAAAATGCCCAGCCTTTCACAAGAAAAGAGGAACAGAGGTATTGGCATGCTGGATCAGGGGGCTTTACAGGTAGCCGTCGCCAGACACTTTAATGTCCACCAATCGACCATTGCTCTCCTCAGACAACGCTTCCACGCCACTGGAAGAGTTGCTGATCGACCCCGACCTGGAGCGCCACCTGTAACAACCGCTGCTCAAGATCGCCACATCCGATTACAGCATCTGCGCAACAGGTTCAAGTCAGCTACTGCTACTGCCAGGGGAACTGTTGGGACACGGCAACGTCAGATCAGCCGGATTTCCTAAGTCGGATCTTCGCTCAACTCGGATCAAAATGTTCGGTCTATTTGATCTAATTCCGACTTTTTTCCTTCGCCTAAGTCGGATCGGCAGTATGTTCAGAATTTGACTAAGTTAGTTTCGTATTCCATGCACAGAGTCCCAAAATACATTCCCCTTTCATTCCCGGAAAAATTGAAACTTGCTGTCTGCTGTACGAGACATTTTCCGGGGAAATTTAGGACATTTTTCAAAGATGGCGACAAAACGGAAGTTATCTACCCGCACATACGAACAAAAGCTTGAAATGTGAGTTTGAATCAATTATTACCCGGCTCTTGCAGTTTATTTCTAATCGAGCTAAGACTGAATTTTGGTCTTCGGTTAACTCGGATAAAATTGGTTAGACCACTTAGATCCGACTCATGCGAAGTTTACTGTATTTTGTAAAAAAAAAAGGACCTTTATAGAAGTATAGAACTCGATACGCGAGTTAAAGTTGCCTTATTAAAACAAGGTTTAGACACCACATACACACACACACACACCCACACACCCACCCACGCACCCATACACACACACACACACACACACACACACACATCCGTTTACCCGTGCTTCCACATAAATTTTAAAATAAGAATGTGGGAGTGTTTCTCACAAACATAAAATCATCTATAGAAATAGCT